AAAAAATCAATTTTCAAAAGTGTTATGTAAAATTCAACAGAACAGCAATGAAAAGAAAATTGAAAACAAATTTGAGAGCACACCAAATGAGAAGAAGATGCGCATCATCAGCAAAATGTATCGAACGAAGTCTCAACTCAACTTCTTAAATAAAAAGTTATAAAATTTTGTATTTTTGCAAGTCACAAAACTATACAAATTAAACAAATTCTACGGGCAGCGAAAAATAAACTAAAACCGTCTTACGAAACAACTAAATCCAAAGAGATAAGTAGATGACGAAGAAGTGTCAGCTTCGACTCTCGCTATATTCGGTAACTACATATTGTAACTCGGCTTCTCCTCGAGTTCAGCCACAAATATTTTTCACCTGCACGGTGGAAATGTGAAAAGGGCGAAAGAGTATAAATCCTTGTGACATCTATTGCAATGGTCTTAAAAAAAATTTATCAAACTGATTATGGATTTGTGGTGGTAGGGAAAGTCAATCGCTGAAAAATGCTCAAATCCGGTAATTTGAGATCATTTCACGATATTTACCTCCTCCAAGAGACCTCTCCAAATGGTTCTAGGCTGATTGAGTTCGCGTTAAACGAAATACTTGTATTTCTAATACCAGATTCCAGCTCAAAACTAATCCACCAGGCCACACTGCTTTCAGCGTGATAAAGGACACCAAATCAAATCGATATTGTGATGCCAGACGGTAAACGTGTCATCCTGTATTTAAGATACAATGAAATAAATGCTCCTCAACAGAAGCCATTAGCCTCTCGGAGGCTGCTTAGCATAAACTGTACGTTCCTCTGTTGGTTGAAAAAAAAAAAACATCAAGACGAAAAACATCAAGACGAAAAATATCAAGACGAATAACCACGAATTGGAGGAGGCCTAAAATCGCTTAGGCGCTCACAAAGCGCAATTTATATATACATATATACTCTTAAAGGTCCTGGCAACAACGAAGGACCGTCTTTCTATCGCAGACTAAACAAGCACCCATCTCTGCGCAGCGAAGAATGTGGATAAAATAACGTTAAAATATCCGTAAAGTAATCATCAACTCAATTCTCAACTCAACTTGTACTACTGCGAAAATTATTTGTTAATAACTCTATATGAAGACACTACGCGGCAAGGACTGGTATATGAGAAATACTGCAGAACAAGAAAGAGAAAAAAGACTACCCATATCGCAGCGTTATAATCAACTGCCCACCGTGCCGTATGGGCTGCGTATCCATTGTGAAGAGAGAAGCAAGATTCAAATATTCTTCGAAAAATCGAAGGTTTCAAAGCCAGAGTTTTTCTTCTTTTTTTCTTTTGCTGTAAGCCCGGGAAGAATAATCTGCTACTGAGAAGTACACTCTAGCGTACCGCAAAGATATGAGCGGCGAAGTTGAACCCTATGCAGTAGATGCTCCATCACCTGGCTGTAAACTTTTTCAATAGCCAACCAGCTGTTCAACTACTTAAGAGTATGTCCAGAATCTCTGTCTGCTCTGCGAAATGTATAAGAGGAGACTCCAACATTTGTGCCGATTATACACGATTATGTCGCTATAAGTATACTTAGTATCGCGTATGAGGTACTATATGTCCCATTATTTGAAATCGAATGGATCGAACATTTACAGCGCACCATTCGATTCGAAACGAGGCGTCACTATCGATATGTTTTTCTGTGCCTTCTGACGAAAGTAAAACTTCCTTGATACCAAAATACAGATCCTGCAATCACATATGCTGAATACGTTGATATGATCGGAATGATAGATCGCGCGGATCGGAGAAAGAAGCGAAACGCACTGATCGTGAATATTGGTTAGGTCTTATCATCGTGGCGGAGGCACTCCGTTCAAGTTGGGGTTGGACCTATCTTCATTTGGAGTTGGCAATTATCGCTTAATAGTTGCCCACTCCAATTAAGATACTCTATTCGGCTTGGTTAGCCGGAGAGAAACACTATTCGGTCGTTCGCTACTCATCGCACACATACAATATACTCGTTTATATAGAAACGAAATAACTCGGGTGCTACCAAGATAATGAAGGGCAACAAAGTATGAAATGTATTTAAGCAAAATACTTCTTGCAAAGGAGTTTCGCAAAAGAACGCAGAGATAGAAACATTAGTCGAGTGTATGCAGCATCCTAGCTAACGCGGGTAATGAGCAAAAGGCGCTGAAAGTAAAATGTAAAAAAGCATAGACATATATACATACACACACACACACACATAAGTATGAGGCGAAGTGTGGAAGAAGTTCAAAGTATTTTTACTCAATTGTTATGTTGTTTTTAATATGAATACTTTTTTTGATTATTTTCCTTTACCATTAACTCAGCACTCTCGACAAAGAGCACAAAAAACTCCTACGCTACGCTTCCGTAAACAACATGACCGGCAGCAACGAAAAGTTTACTTAAAACTTTTTCTAGTTATTTTTTTTTTGTTTTTTTTTTTAGCCCGCATGCGCTTGAGCTCCTACGTAAAAATACTTTTGTTTCAGTTATTTTCAATCATAAAATATTCACTATCCATTTTAGGGTTACTTGTTGTAAAAGTACAGGCGAAAAGAAGAATGCACTTTTGTATTGCTCCACGAAAAATGTAAATATTCATGGAAGTAAGAAGAAGTTGTAAGAAAACAGCGGCAGCGGCGGCGGCAGCAGCGTTAAATGTATGCAGCGCAAAGTTGTAAGCACATCGTGAACTGGCTTTAAATGCACTTGAAGGTATGAGAGAGAGGAAAAAGAAAGGAGAATTATAAAATGCAAATAAAAATGGAGAATAAAGAAAAACCAGTAAAATATCTATATATATTAACAAAGCCATATTAAGGAGATCTAAAAAGAAAAGGATGAGCACGTATAAACAAGATTGTATCAAGCTTCTAGGCGATGCAACAATGAGAAGCACTAAGAAGAGAAGTGCAACTAAATATAATAATATGCCCCGTTGCAGGGCATAGTGGTGAATTAGGTCATATATCACTATATGAACTGTTAAAAGATTAAAAAAACAGTATATTAAAATACAATAGTGATGTACTTTGGTAGTTCTTGTAAAACTGCAACATCAAAACCGTTTGAAGCTACTTAACAAAGAACTTGCAACCAGAATGAGCCAGATGACTAACTTTCTGGCGACTTTAACTAAAATGAAGCTCCATAACAGTAGACTAGGTTAATTTGTAGTGGTTTCCTCCCTACGGAATCCCACTTAAACAGTACCACGTTCATGGTGTCAGCATTGCTAGCCAAAGCTATGTGCTGCTACAGTTTCTGTTGGGTCTTCAGTTAGAAGAATCCTGCTGTTCTTTTAGCAAATTTAAGCAGTCCTTTTGATCACTTATCTACAGCTGATTAAGTATTCTCCCTACATCCATTTATAGCTGATTAACGCTCCTCCATATATTCATCTACAGCTAATTAAAGTTCCTCCATCTAACCAGCTTTTACCCGCGTACATCCGTTCACTAAAACAACAAATATGCTTTTTTTTAGTTTCTGGAGTCACTTATGAGTTCCTGGCAGTATACTTCAACTGGGCATTAAGAACACTTATGCTACCAAAGCATTGTTTACAACACTTTGTCTTGTCTGTCCACAAATGCAGAAAAAAGGCTAAAAAACTTTTATTTTCAACAAGACGGGGCACCTTGCCATACCGCAGCCGCTACGATCAAATCTTTGCAGAGCAAGTTCCCAGGACGCGTTTTCTCAAAAAATGGCGATTTGGAGTGACCTTCTCGTTCTCCGGATTTAACGGTACCTGACTTTATTCTGTGGGAATATTTAAAAAGTAAAGTTTATACCACCGAGCCGAAGAACATTGACGAACTCAAAGCTAATATACGAGCTGAAATAGCTGCGATATCACCCGAAATGTCCGCAAAAGAGCTGCTTTTTGTGTATCAAATAGGGGTGGTCATTTAATCGACGTTGTATTCTAAACCTGGTTTGAAATAAATGGCATAGAATATCGTAAAAAATCTTGTTCACTTGTGAAAATTGGCTGAAAATTTGGCGGGGTTATTCAATGTTGAAATAGGATACATCCAGATGGCGCACCCTGTATTCTAGAAAACGGCTCGGTAATTTATTCTGTCAAAATACAATCTAATCAGGAATAATTACTCTTTTTTACATTAAGAAAATTGTATTGGAGTTATCAATATAATCTTTCCCCTTTATACGATCACTTGTATTGTTTGAGTATTAATCTCTACGCTCGTTTATGTTCGGCCTACTAGACGTTAGAATAATGGCCCTCATTCGCGCTCCTAAAATTTGAATTCACCATCCACCGGCAAGTTGTTTTAAATGGCCTCTGGTAAGACATGTTGAGCCAAAATTGTAGTCCTCGAAGATCTTGCTTCTTGCATGCAGACCAGTGAGCATCTCTAACCTTTTTAAAAAACAACAATGATAATCCATATTATTTCAACTCCTAGCATCGGCTGTGTACTCAAATCTAATACAGTTCGAGTGGATAGAAATAGGCCAGATGGCGGAAAAGTTTTTGAAACTAAAAGCCTGTATTTAGTATTGCTGCGATTGGGCTGAGAAACAAGGTATATCTGTTAATTTGGAAATGTCAAAGGTCTTTCCCCACACAAGGCAAGCAAAAATGCACCTATTTAACTCACCATCTTTTATAAGTAAAGTATTTGGATGTAATTTGTGAACATATTGAAAATAGGGTCGATAAAGTGCAGAAAAACTACTATGGCAAAATCGAGAACACGACCTCAAAAGGATATACTTGTGGCGTAAAACCCACACCAACACATGAAGCATAATGTGATGGGCAACAGTGAAGTATCTGAAATATCATAGACACACGATAGAGAAACGAAAAGTTTTGTCAGGCGCCTGTGGCTTATTCTCTCCCGAACAGGTCATTGAATGATTAAGCCCATCTTATGAGGCAAGCACGAGGGCTGATTTCTTGTAGATATTAAAAAATTTTAGAATATTTAGGCACATTTTAATATTCGTATTGTATTGATTTATACATAGTAGTATATGTATGTACATAAATATTTTCAGTTTTACTATATTTTCACAATATCCCAAATATTATCGGGTTCAGGAATTACTACTTCGTCCATACTTAACCTCTTCGGTAATACTTCCTCGTCATCTAATTGCATTCGGGGAAATTCGTAGCCGAAATAGTCATAGAAATACATTTTTTCGGGGCTGATATAATGAAAACCTACAGGATAACTCGAGAGACAATCGCGACACTGAAAAATGGAAGAAAAAACCAAAGAAATGTTGGATTTATTTTAGCTGGAACTGCACGTAAAATATCGAAATGAACAACTTAATATTTAGAAATAAATTAAAAGAACATATAGCGGAACATGTAGCCAAATATCAACAAATATCACTCACCGCACGTGGATTATAATAACTGTAACCAAAGTGCCAAAAATCATCCGTATAATAAGAAGTCATAAGCGCCGTAAAGAGTTCGAAAGGATAAAAACGCCATTTTAAGTGTGCATCACGTGAATCTCCAGCCGACACACCCACGGCGCGCAAACATTGACCCATAGCCACGTCTTCAGCTTGTAAATTGTTTAAAATATCACAGTTGGTGTTATTAACAATGGCGGACTCAACAAAGCGACGCAGTGATTCTCGACTTAAGACATACCCGCTGCCACCAGACATGTAGACCTGATGGAAAAGATATTTACTTAATATTAATTGTGGAGCCTGTGGAAAATTTGATTACCAACAATTTTTTTTCTTTTAATATGTATATTTTTTTTATGGAAAATTTACAAGGAAAATTCATTGGAAAAGCCTAAATATCACTTTACTTAAGACCTATGTTACCCGGTCTTGACACTTCAAAAAATTAATTTTTTTCATCATTTTTTGTATAAAAGTACAAAGTGTCAGGAATATTTCTTCCAAGTCTCAAGACGATTGAAACGAAACTGTAGAAATTAGAGAGTTTTAGAACCCGTCGCCTTTGTCAAGGCTTAACCGATGGCGAAAGTTTAAACGCGTTTTTCTTAAAACCACTTAATCGGAATCGGTGGTCGAAATTTCTCAATGAATATTGAAGCGATCGAGTACAAATATTCCACACTTCTTTAAATATGTTTTTGTAGTCTCTGAACGAAGGATTTATTTTACCATTGATTTCAACTCATTTTACAAGCCAATTTGTGCAAAAAAATACTTTTTTTTTAAAAAAAAACGCTACGAAAAATTCAATTCTTAATTTTAATTTACATTTTCTTCGTTCAGGGACATGAAAAAATTCACCTACTTTAAGAAAAAATTTGGATTTCTGATTTCAGATAAAAATTGAGAAGGTGATCATGACTACCGCGAAAGCACTTTCTTGGCCTTCAAGACCTATATAAGCGCTTAAAGCAAGGACAGGGTAGACGGGTCTAAATAGCTCATCCGGCAAGTCAACGAGGGGACGCTTTTTAGTTCTTCAGGCCGACAATTGATATTCGAACTTCAATATAATTGAGGAATAGTTGGCCTTTTTTCATGGTAATAGATTACCAAATGGAGTACATCATAACCGGCTGTTTCTTCAGCAAAACTCTAGTTCTTTCCCATGATTTTTTATCTGTGAACTCTCGAAAAGTATGCTCCAGTCTTGAAACCTTCTGTAAGTCCTCATATATTTTCAAAAATTTTGTGCACATCAACTTCAAATGATTTGATGGTTTGATTCAATCTTATAGCATTTAGAGTTCGGCGGCGTCTTCAGCTTTTCTTGATGCTAAGATCACTGTAGTGCTGCTTAGGCGATTTTCGGCGGAGCTTTTCTTCCAATTCATTCTCTAAACAACTTAAGCATTTTCATGAGAAGTTATCACTTTCTATTTAATGAAAACACAACGAGATGTTGATATTCATTCCCAAGAGACGGTGATATTTAGAAAAAAAATCCCTTTTATTCCATTCTTAATTACCAAGATAATGATTTGATCAATAACGCAGAGGAATAAAGTAAGCTAATGTCCAAAATTTTGCTAAAACCGTGCAGCACGTTGTAGACAAGATTTCTTATAGACTGGACTTATCACTTACTTACCTGATTTATATCCTTATCATATTTCATATTATATCCAAAATAAATCGGCATTTCAGGACTGTACGGATAAAGCATGTAACGCATATTTTCAATGAAAGCAAATCTATAAAAGTAGTTAGATATAACTGTTATTTTTACTCATTCCCACTTCGATATTTCGTTATTCCAAAAGGCAATAATATTTCCCGTAGTTAAATCAGCCTAACTCACGTATCATCATCCGCCTTATAGAACCAGTCCATATCGTCTCCATACTTATGATATATCTGCTCGAATGCCAATCTAGTTTTCGCCCATATCGTCTCGTACTTGTCCTCCACTTCGCTAATAACTAACGTCTCGCCCAAGTCTTCGTCGGCTTGTGATGTTACGAACAGTAGCCGATTACAACGTCTGCCCCAAGTACGTCGAACATGTATCGCTTTGGTTTTGTGATTGTTAGGCGTAGTCATAACCCAGCAGAGGATACGCACATCCATTGCTAGTTGCTCTGCTAAGCTACTAGTATTTTGTTGGTAGGTTCGGGGCAAAACATCATGTTTTCCTCTACGTAGCCAGCTCAATTGTTCCCGGTTGATAATGTTATGTTTGTAGCTCAAATATGCAGCAATTAATGCAATTTCTATAGTCACAAAAATGATGCGCCGATGAAAGTGCTTACTTTTGTTATTTCGTTCATCTTCAATTTTTACCGTTTTTGGTAACATTCTTGCTGTGATATCTTAATAGAACTAACGGGAATACTGAGCATCTGTCGAATCGTAACAATCAAACAGCAATTAACTAATTGATTGATAAAAACTATCTTTTATCACAGTTGTTTGTCTTATTATTGAATCTTTTAACACAACAAACGCATTTTCAAAACTTACTCAATTACTTATTTACCATTTACCAACAAATAAATGCATTAAATAATATGTGAAGTAATATTAGTTGAGAATCGGCAGAAGAAAGTCATACTAATTATATATATATATATACATAAAGACCAGAAAGTTTCCGGATATAGTTTTTTCGATATTCGCACTTTGGTAAATGATGAATTCATTCTAACGGGACAAACGGTCAATAAAGAGTATTATTTGAGGATTCTGAAGCATTTTCGCGAACAGATCCCCGTCGTAAGCAACCGTAATTGTGGTCCCACAATTCCCGGAAACTTTCATGACAATAATGCGCCATCGCACCGAGCTATAATTGTGAATGGTTTTAAGAGCAAAAACTCGTTCAATACCATCGATCAACCACCGTATTCACCGGATTTGACCTACAGTTCAAGCCATAAATACATTCCGAGGGTTTGAGATTCCCTGCCAATGAGCGACCGCAACTAAAAAAAAATATTTTCTATAATTTTTAGATGCTGGTCGAGCCAAAAAACGGATCAGCGATTTACGGGCGTCGGATGTAAGTTAAAAAAACTTAAGTTCGTACTATTTGAAGGCAAGTTTTTGCCCATAAAATAAAATTATATTTATAAAATGAAAGAAAAGTAATCTACAAGTTGCATATGTAACTTCGTTTTCTTTAAATAACTCATTGCTAAAGATACAACCAAAAATATCGCTAGTTAAAGTTGGTTGGCAAGATTGTTGTTAGATCTCCACATGCCTTATTTCAGATTGAAGGCGTTTTTCTGGGTACTGACTCCAACGAGCTTTTAAATATGGTTTCAAAATATAATTAATATCCCAAAAGCCATGCAGATCGTATGCCAAACGTCTCAGCAAAGTGAACTCTCTCATCACTAACCGTAAAGCGCTTCAAGAGTTAAGTAAAATTGACTGGATTGCCACCTTATAGTTAGTGCACCTAGGTTTTTCGGTTCATTGTAATACTACAATAAGATTTTTAGTGATTTCTGCGGCTAACTCAGCAGGCAGCCGAAATATTTTCTGAGAAAGTGTTGTCGCTCCCACTAAGCATTTAGAAGCTACTGCTATGTACTTATATAGATTTGTATTTCCATCATTTAGTTAAACTTTGGGGATTTTTGCGTTATTCACCACTTCTGAAAGTCGTACCCTTTACCTTGATTTTTACCTTCATTGTCTGAGTTTCGTTTACTGTGTTTGCAGCTCGCTTGAAGTTTGCCGTAGATGTTTGGTGGGAAAAAATGTTGACGAAATGAGCTTCTGGTGCTTTTGTGGGATTCAATGCAGTTATAAAGAGTTGTAAGGACAACAGACCGATCAGCGCTGCTTAGGATTCTCCTAAAATTAAATTTATCTAGTTTCGCAGCAATACAAAATGTCTAAGTGCTGCCTAAGCAACGAGAATATCAGAGAATGCTCTCAGCAATTGACGGTTGTCCCGAAGAAACCAACGACGATTTGATTTTCTCCGTAAAACCGGTTAAGCTTATTGCTCACTGTTAGTCAAGGTTGCCAGTATAGTCTTTTTTAAAGAAATATTAAATAATCGAAGATAATGCGTAGTTTTTTTCAAAAGAAATGAAAACTAAATTCGTTACTAATTTTTTGTTACCACATAGACGTAGATCATGTATATTTGATTTCCGTTTATATGCGTACATACAAATTATGAAATTTGTTGACAAAAATTATAAATTTGTTATTAAAAGTCTGCGGCAACATTTTGCTGCTGTCAGTAGCGTCGATAACTCGTATATGCATATCACTCTTCCAGTCGGCCGTTATGGACGGTAGGTAAGTAACATGAGTAGTTGCAGCATAAGCGCTCAGCGCTCAGTTATCGCATTGAGAGATAATAGTCTAATGTTAACATTATATGTATGTATAAAAGATATAAGAAGTACCGGAATGTGTTCAATATGCTTACCTGCCACTGCTATCGCATTCGGTACTAACGGCCGAGGTCAACTCTATGAGTAATGTTGATTGAGCACAGAGAGAAAAAAATCTCTACGCACTTCACCAGAGATTATAATAAGTTCTCTGCTTCACTACGCCTAAGAAGGTGTACAGGCATTCCGCGTTGTATACATATAAGTTGTCCAAACATTGCCTAGAATCTATACGTTCTAAATGAACATCGCTTTGGTGCTGGCACATATAACACCGGTGAATTATTATACACCAATTGATCGACACCAATTATGGACGCATTAAAATGATATCCCACGTAGTAAAGAGCATCTTGATGAAATGCTTCTATTATGATGAGATCAAAGCGCACCTCGGTGTGCTGTAGTTGTTGCAATTCCTCATTTTTCAGCACCAATCAGGTCACCAATTGTAATTTGCTGAGTTTTTTGCCCACAGTCTTTTCAATATATTTTATTAATAATTTCTAAACAAGTTAAAAAAAAACTGTTAATAAAAATTAGCAAAATTTGTCATTAGAAATCCCACTAGCCTTCATGATCGAATTGTTCGATTTTTAAAGTATATAACGAAAATTTTTATTTAAAGTTTTTTGTGGAAATGCCGAAACGGAAGTGATCTCATGAGCGTGTCGTTCCATGCGGAATCCCATGAGTTCGTATTCCAAGCTCAGAAATTTTTAGAGAATTTATTTAAAAATTAAATTTTCTAATTGCGATCTTCCTTGGCCAGGAAATGTCAATCCTCAGCGTGTATTTCTACTACACCCAAAAATTCATCAGTCAGATGAGGGTGGCTTAGTATAAACTGAAGGGTATGAAGCGCCAGTTATATAACATGCAATGTTTTGGACGAAAGTATGTAAGTATCAGAAGTATCACTCATTTATATGATCCGAGTCCGCCAAAAAGTACCTATGAACTTGAAATTCGGTATTCTACACACATATATACCAAAAAACATTGACAACGGAAATGAGCAAAATCGAACGCTCCCACCCCTTTTTCACATATGGGAATTAATATTTAATCCAAAATGGTATGACATATCAACTTCAGTCTTGAGACTTAGTGAAAAGTTATTCTAAATAAAACTCAAATGGTGAACATCTTGAGCAGAACATCGCTGCTCTTTTGAAAGCGTAATTATCTGCGAAAAATTTATACAGGCAAGGTAAATATTAGGCATTTTTGGAAAAAATCAATGTGATATCTTCTCAACAAGTAAACCTCAAAACTTTGATAAATTAAACATGTATTTGGATAACACACATACACCCATACGAGTACACATTATTTATCAAAAACAGAATGAATAGATAGAAACACTCACAACTTTTTCACATTAAATCATCAGAAGTAGCGATTTTGAGAAGAAACTTTTCAGTTTATATTTAACAATGCCGCTAGCACAAAGCTTTGTGTCAGTTCAAAAACATTTCATTTCGGGTTCATTTACTGGTCGTCGAATCATCTACGCATTAGCAGCATTGGCAATAATTTTTATATATTTCAAATATGTATATGTGAATGATGTAGCAAATTCAACTGAAACCACCCCGAAAGTATTCAAACAAAGTGAACGAAGGGTTGAAAGCATTTCTAATAGAAATCACGAAAGTTTAGCAGCGCAATTGAGGCGTGAAGTACGCGTACTCTGCTGGATTATGACCACACCCGCAAACCACAAAACCAAAGCCATACATGTACGTCGAACGTGGGGTAAACGTTGCAATCGTTTAATATTTGTCACCTCCGAGGAAGACATCGATTTGGGCGAGACATTTGTCCTACATAATTTCACGGATACATATAATGCTTTATGGACGAAAACAAGAAGAGCATTCAAGTATGTTTACGAAAAGTATGCAAATGAGATGGATTGGTTCCTCAAGGCCGATGATGATACGTAAATATTAAAACTTTATATAAGTGTGTTACTTATAACAAGAATTCCAAATTTAATCAGAAGAAGTTAATCTGAAGCCAACTTGATATTTAAAAAAAAAGGCAGAGGTGTTATCAACAAGATAGATTTTTTACTTATCCATTCTATAAGGGGATAAATGTACCTATTGTACCAAAGAAATTGCTGTTGACATACGGTCCACTTTGCTTTTTTCACTCAACTGATGTGGCACCCAAACCTTTTTTAAACGACGAAATGCAGTTGATTTTTTGACGTTCAATTCACTGGCAACCTCTTCCGTCGAAATACGTGAGTTATTCGCAACTAAAGTCCTTAGAACATCGTCATCAAGCTCAGAAGGCCGTAAACTGCGAGGTTGATCTTCGAGGTTAAAATCTCCAGAATGAAATTTCGCGAACTATTTCTTTACTGTGCGGAGTGCTGGAGCACGGTCCAAATAAACTTCGCGAATATCTTTAGTTGCAGCGCCTACTGTTTTTCCTTTGCGGAATTCGTATAACATAATATGACGCATATGATCTTTTTCGTTGTCTATCTTCCAAGCGTCTTTTCACTAAGCAACTCAAATCAAAATGAAGTTACTCTATGCTTGACTTACAGTTCGGACTGTCACCTTTCCACCGATATATAATATGTATATATTATATTTCTTTCACGAGCGCCACTCTCAAACGATTCGAACGGCATCCAGCGGAATCAGGCACGAACTTATGCATTCATATTTTCTTTCTGTTTATATCATTTACCAGAACCGTCTAGATGGTACCATTGTGACATATATACGACTAAATTATCAGATCTGAGATTTTGTGTTGAATTTGGTTTGTCAAATTCTATTCGGGAGATTTTCACTCAAAGATAAGCCACGTTTAGATCGGCCAAGTGAACTTGATAATGACGATATCAAAGCTTAAATCGAATCGGATCATCATGTAACTGAGCGTGAGATTGCAAAGATGTAAAGTATACCAAAATCAACCGTTCATAATCATAAAAGAAGTCTTGGACTGGTAAGCCGTCTCAACGCTTATGATATGCTTTCTTAAACGGAATGAATATGATCCGCTTTTGAAGCAAATCATAACTGGTGATGAAAAATGGATTGTTTATGCTGTCAGTTTGGTAGGATTGAAAGGTCGTGGTATATTTTGAGCTGCTTCCAAGGAACGAAACGTTTAATTCGGATGTATACTGTAAACAACTGGACTAATTGAATACACCCATCAATGAGAGGCGGCCAGAATTGGTAAATCTGTGTCATATTCCGCCAGGACAATGCTAGACTGCACGCATCTTTGGGCACTCGCCAAAAACAGAGAGAGCTTGGCTGCGAACTTTTGATGCATTCACCATATAGCCCTGACCTTGCACTGTCAGATGTACATTTGTTTCGTTCTTTGAAAACTCATTAAATGGTAAAACTTTCGAAAATAACGAGGCCATCAAATCGCACTTGGTTCAGCTTTTTGCGGATAAAACCCAGTGGTTCTATGAGCAATAAAAGATTTTGCCGGAAAGATGGCGAAAGGTCATACACAAAAATGGAAATTACATAATCGATTGAAGTTCATTTTAAATTATAAAAAAGTGTATTTGCTTTCTTTTAAAAAAATTTGAAATTTCTTTTAGGACAACCCATTATATTTGTGAAAGATATAAAGACTTTGGAATGGCCGAAGACAGCGCACTTTTCTTGTTTATTATTTTTCTTTATAGTTTCAACGCAAACTTTGCTTCTGCTAATTTAAAAATATTTTCTTTATTCAAAAATACAATTATCAAAATTATTAACAAATTATATATTATTTTATATTATATTATTCACGCTTATAAAAAATGAAGAATATGTCCAAATAATTTTTCATTATGTAATTATTATGTTTTTAATATTATATAATTAATTTCTCATTACAGTTTTGTTTTTGTTGAGAATCTACGTCATCTCCTCTACACATACAGCCCGGAAATGCCCATCTATTTCGGCCACGATTTTAAATTTATCTTCAGCGACAACAAAGTACGTTAAATGAACAGTGTTTTCTACGGCCAAAAGTCCGACCAACAAAATTGTAGAAATTAATTGGCATATTATTTGAGTTTATCCCTCTAATTGCAAATGGGCTATTCCCTGCCAACGCCTCCGAATGTATTTCTGGAAATATAAAAAATGCAACTCGAGTAAGCAGTGCTCATTTGCATCCGGAATTAGACCTTCCTTTGTTAGTCTCTATCACTTCTTGTAGTAAATTTTAATCAACTTACAACAAAAACCAAACAAACGGAGCGGCTCGGTAGGCTTCGTAAAACGGCTCGTAATTTCAATGAAATTGATGTCGGACACGTTTAAGACCTGTTGTTCCTTATTCTAGAAAGTTCAAGATACATTTTTAGCCAATAGAAAAAAAAATGAATTTTTGAAGCACCTACTAGGTGTGACAATAAAGTCATGAGACTTATTATATTTTCGCGATTGTGGTAACCCTGCGAAATTCTCTTTCCCTTCTTTCGGCATTCTTCTCCTCACTATTGATATACTTGCCATCGCTCTAGCTTGCTTAGTTCGCCTGTTGCGTGGTGTGTTCGTGGTGCTCGTCACGAAAATAGAAAAAAGCAGCATCGAATGACCGTCGCAGAAGACTGTTTGGAACAAATGAAAAGCGATCACACACTGCTTAAGCGAGTTATTACAGGCGATGAGAGCTGGATTTTTCAATACGACCCGGAAACCAAACGCCAAAGTTCACAAGCCGAAGATGAAAACGATTATTGTTGCCTTTTTAAATAGCCGTGGAATCGTCGACATGCGGTTTCTTCAACCTGGGCAAACCGTAAATCAAGTCTACTATCGCCAAGTACTCGAAAGATTACGAAAACGAGTCAACAGGGTGCGCCCAAACATCGCCCGTAACTGCAACCTTTATCACGACAACGCGCCGTGCCACACCGTCCTCGGCGTGTCCCAGTGTTTGACCTCTAAAGGGATCGCCATGTTCCAACAACCACCTTATTCGCCCGATATTTCACCAAAAAGTCACATTTTTGTTCCCTAGAACAAAATTAAGTGGTCAAAGAAACCCATTTCAGTCGAAGCTTTCCAGAAATGTTACAAAGCATGGAAAACGCGCCCAAGATGACTACTTTGAAGGGGATGGCAGAGTTGTAGAATAATTTTGAAATATACGGTTTCTATGAAATTAGGCTCATTACTTAATTGTCACACCTCTTACAGTGCCATTAACCCTTAATTGACATACATATACATATGAGTACAATCTTAACAGGAATATAGAGTCAAAAGCTTCACGTTCGGCTAACAAATATTTTCAATCGAAACCAAAAATGTAGGGTTCCCTCATTGTTAGTCGAGATATTTACTATGAAATTGCCTACTTAGTTCAAAATATTCATAAAATCTGGTGGCAAGAGTCGACTTTCATTGTTTTGGTGCACATGCAGTTACCTGTACAGACGAAACTACGGTTCTAAGATCATCAGCAGCAACTTAGAGATGCAGACGTCCGTACCTTACCTGCTTCCTTTCTTTTATTTGTCTGAAAATCTCAATACTTCCAATTCGCAGTGAGGGAAACTCGAATTGAAATTCTTCTCATGCAGCAGTCGAAGGCGGTATTGAAAAAAGCTGTAAATTCTGACCATGGCAAAACTTGCGATTCTGATCAGGTTGCTAAGAATTTGTTGAGCCTTAAATTTGCTTACAAAAATATCAAAATATGTTATTGAATATTTTACAATTATATAAAAAAAATTTAAAATATATTATATTATATATGTATGTATGTAATTATCTATTTAAAGCACTATATGTCCGGTGGTGCAGGCTACGTGCTAAGTCGCGAGGCGCTTCACCGTCTCAATAGAGCGGCATTGGCGAATAGTGATATATGCCCACCGGAAGACACATCTTTACCCGAAGACTGGGGAATGGGGAAATGTTTGCATGCCGTTGATGTGCTGGCTGGAGATTCACGTGATGCTCACAATGAACTGCGCTTTGCGCCCTTTAATCCTTACGGTCTGTTAATAGCAGACTACGTGGAAGAAGATATTTGGTATCCGACGATGACGTTCTATCATCCACGTTTGGTAAGTTTTTATTAATTCTGCAATATGTTGTTTGTGTTGTTGTCTTTTACTCGTATATGAAATTCTTATTAAAAAAAGTTCAATATTTCAATTTATTTAAATTTTCAGTGTCAAAACTGTCTATCGAAGCACGCTATTTCCTTTCACTACATGAAGGCGGACTATATGTATTTGAGTGATTTCTTTCTTTACCAATTCGAATTGTATAACTCACGAGATGAGCCGGAAGTTTTACAGCAAAAGCTACGTTGGGAAGAGATAAAATTTCTGAAATCGTTTAATGTCTGGAATATAACGTCGAATCAAATATACAAAGATAGTTGATTTCAGTGAATCAAATTAAAATACCGTTAACAGAATTACAATACTATTGTAGATATACAACTAATTAATAAATATCTTGTCATTAATATTCATAGCGATTGGCTCAAATATACATATATTCCATGAGGCCATAGCAAGTAAATGTAGGCTATGTAATTCCGATCCGTGACCTAGATGCAGAGTAATTCAAAATATCTGACAGTTCATCTGAACCTACCAAGGGAATGGAAAGCTGAAGTCATTGTCTTCTTATTCCCTGAAATATGCCAAAGTCGGCGTACAACTCATCGTTCATCTTTCTTTCGAAAACTCCTAATGCCGATTCATCGGTCCGCGCTTTAGAACCATGCAATAGGAAAGCAGTTTGGTTGTCGATATTAATGCTGGTTTTCTACATAGACGAAATCGGCTACAACTTAAAAATGAGTACCAATAGGAACGTGCTTTCCTTGTCAATTCGGCTCTGCACTTCTTCTCTAGCACTGGGTTGACGAAATCATTCGATATCTGAAACCTAATACTACGTTACCGAACGGTCCAGAGAACTTCTTTCATGATCTGACTGCACTTCTGTTATTCAGCCATTTACGTTTTGTAGTTTCGGCTCAGCGCAATTCGAATATGTGAGTGATTTGCGTCTTGATGGGTTTCCAACAAATGGAAGATAGATTTTTATGAGTAGGGCTTTACATGACCTGCCGAAAAGCTACAATTAGAAAATCTTATTTTGTATAATTTTGGATGTTGGTCGAAACAGAACTCGAAGATTGGTCAATCGAATATTGGCAGTGAATGCTAACCACTGGGCTATTGCGGTTATTGATCATTTTCTCATGCTGTGACATTTTCAGTTCTTCGACCCCTCCCCCCCCCCCAACATTAAATAGCTCCGTCGCTAAGTCTCGGCTCCCACCGCTTTGTTATTCTTCTAGTGAGTGAGTCTAAGTCGGGTGTGGAAACGTTTATACTATCATCATCGATTGGTTATTCAGGTCCATCTTCTTCCTCAAAAAACCTCCCATAAACCCAGTCCTCTCTGTACCTCGGCCAGTAGATTATCTTCTTCGACCATTAATCTTGCGACCATCAATGTAAGTTATTCAAACTTCTGCAAAGTCGCCGCAATTCTCTCTTCTACTCACACGACACACTTTGTGGTCGAAATCAAAGTGTCTGTATCAAGCCAACTGAATTCTGTGTATCTATTAAACGTCCGATTGGAAGCGAGCCATCCATAATTCGACGTAAGGTCTGAGAGGAAGTAACAAATCAAACCTATTGTTGAATTCTGACGAGCTTAACATCTACTGGAAATGAGAATCCCGATAACCGGTTTTACTGATCGAATGTCTTCCAACGCCAACACTTACTTACTTGCTCGTTGAATATGCTCTATAAATAGGAATTTTTTCCAAAAAATTTATGTACTCGTACATATGTATAAGATATTTATTCATCAGCTATGTTTTAACTTTGCTCCACCACTATCTCTCATAACCATTCCACTCACAATTCCATAGATGGCCCATACTGGCAAAATGACTGCTAAGACCACTCCAACAATAAAGACCGCAATCGTATCCAAACTATGATATTGAATAAAATTCAATCCCTGTGCCGCAACGCGCATATGCGCCGCCCCTTCATGACGCAACACATATTCCGTCCAAAAAATAGCCTTGTCCAATGGCTTCATAGGCCGATCATGATAAAGCTGCGACATTTGCTGAATATTTTGTGTATATTTTGGTTGATCGAGCACCTCCAGAATGGCACCTCGTAACTCGTCGTATGTGAATGACTTATAATTAACAGATACACCGATGCCGGCATGTTTTATGCGTTTCATATTGAGAAATTGGTCGAAAAAGACTGGCATGCCGACTAACGGTTTGGCGTGATGAATCGCTTCGGTAGTGCTCAGTAGGCCAGCGTGAGAAATGAAAAGTTTGACATTGGGATGCGCCAAAACATCGGACTGCGGAAACCATTTATCGATATAGACATTCTGCGGTTTATTCGGCAAATCGGTCGCCTCGAACTTCCAAAGTACATTGTACGGCAGCGATGCGAAAACACGTAGGATTATATCTATTTTTTCCTTTGACAAGTTCTTACTCTTTACATTCGAACCCAAAGAGAAGAAGATTGCACCGGCTTTAGAAGCATTGATGAAGCCCTCCATGACGGCCGGTAGTTGATTCGGTTTCTGACTAATATGCATGCCGGCAACTTCAATGGCATTCGGTACATAAGGTCGTGGAAAACTTATGGAGAAATGTTGATTTAAAAGCACCAACGAGAAACTCTTACGCAGAGCCAAAATATCGGCTGTGCCATTGGGAAAGTATTCCTTATATATGGCAACCTGATTCGGTAAGTAAATGAAATGCATATGCAGTTGATGCAACAAATGATGCCACAGGTTTTCCAAACGCTGCCAAAAGCTCATGCGATCACTTAATTCGGAAAGCGGCAATGGTATATAGGAAATTGGCGAAGTATTACCAACCAATTCGTCAATGGTTGGATCTGTGCCGTACGTAGATATGCCGATTATGGGCGCCTTATAGTGATGCGCGAATGCGTAGACAGCATCCATTTGTAGCGCTTCCACAATGACGAGATCGAAATGCTCATCGGATTGTAGCAACTTTTGTACGTTTGCACTTTTCAGCACCGAAAGGGTGCCACCGGTGAAGAAGTCATAATAAAGATTAAGTTCTTGCCATTTATTACGTTCCTGTGTGATCACATCCACTATGGTTTCTGTTGATTGAAAATTATCGATTTAGTGTATATATATAATATATTTTCAAAAACTTGTGGATACCTTCGTAGCCGTTCAGCACTTCTTCTAAAGATATATCACGAAAATTTGGTAAAGGCTTTTTCTGTGGATAAGCCGATACAACGGTGACTTCATGACCACGCCCTGCTAACGCCTTCAAATAGGCTTGCACGCAAATGTACTGTGAAGGCCCCGGAAAGGGAAATATCGCTAAAATTTTTGCACAATCCGTCCGCTGGTGGGCGCTAAAGCTGATCAAAGCCAACAGCAGTAAACCAGGAATCGATCGGAGTAACATTTTTGCAATTGGTGGACAACTTTTTAGTTACTAATTGCCTAAATATTGTACGAAAAAATTTATTAAATTATTACGTAATAAAATATTATATTTATTAAAACAAGTACTATTTTGTTATTTTTATTATTATTATTTTATTTTGTGTGTTAAAAACAGGTTTTTAAATTGTGGAAAAAATAACAAAATAAAACAAAAAAAAATTAAATACTTCTTTGCCCCTCCCTAGTTATTTTCGTTTACTATTTAAAAATGATTTAAAAAAATATGTTCTCTCTATAGTCGATCCAATTATTAAGCCATACTTCAATTTCTTTAAATGACCTGAATGAAAAAGAGAGGAAGAAGCAAGGCCTGGCAGCTGGAATACGACCTGCCTTTACAACTACTTTTCCTGGTAGTTTTCGACCATTACAACCACGTGGGCCGAACCTTGTCATGTTCATGCAAAATGACATTGTCATGCCTTACGGTGGTTTCTAGCTATTTTTTTTCCTTTTAACCCATAACGTTACGCGTCAAAATTTTCACCTGACTTTACTTCCACCAGCACCTAAATTTCAAACCTCTTGGGTTGGTCAATGCGCTCTTTGTCTGCTACACTAAGCATCGTAACCCCCCCTGCCAGACTTATTGGTCGGCGCTGATTTAACGTAAATTAGAGTTTGGCTGCAGATGCACTTTTCTTATAAATAAAACAGAACTCAAAACTTAAAACAACCCTAACCAATGAAATAGGTAATCGCTTCGAAGATCGTTAACAACTTACAGGTGGAGTCAACTTTTCAAAACATACCGAATTAATTTGTACATCCATTTAACATTGCTTCTTGATGGAGAAATATGCGGTTCATGCAAACCAATGGCTTAAAAATCGCCATAGAGATTCTGTTCGGTTGATATGTCTAGGGCTGAAGCGATCGACATATGAGTGGATTGCAACAGGTGAACCTCGTCGAAAGCGGCCGAAAGCATAACCATCGGTTATATGGGATTGACAGTTTTGTAATATTCTCACCTGAGAACGAAGGGCAATATTGTAAACAAGCGACCACACATGACAAAGAAAAAATTTTGGTGTTATCAAGAGTCAAACAAAGCAATGCGAAACTACATGAATTGAGCTTGGAATCCCTTTCACATTTGCCGTATTGCCATATTAGGCTGCCATCGGCTACCAACTTTTGACAGATAACAAAAAAACTTACATCGATAAGAAGTTTCGTAAAATGTAAAAGTTGGGGCCAAAGAAAAATCGTTCTGCAACAGCAGTATTCAGCGACGCTAGAATGATTTTATGACTGTTATTAAAATTTATAATTGGCGCTTTGTAACCGCTGAAGCGATTTTCGGCCGAGCTCCTCCTCCAATTTGTGGTTTTGCGTCTTGATGTTTTTCCAACAAATGAAGGGACCTAGAGTTTATACTAAGTCCTCTCTGTACGGCTGATGGTTTTTCTATGAGGAGCCTTTATTTTATGCCGGAAACACACTCGGAGGGGTTGACATTCCCTGCCGAGGGCGACCGCAGTTAGAAAATTTAACTTAATTTTTTATTTAAATTAATTTTCGTCGAACGGTGATTTGAGCCCGAGCTTCCTTTGAATAATTTTGCATTCTCTTAGTTAGAAATTGCTGTCAATATTAGTGTTGAAATGTAACCCTAATAGCAACTAACATATTATGCAACCCTGTAATGTTTTTGAAATAACTGAAACCGAGAACATTCAGTCAGTCCTTCATTTCTAACTGTTGAATAAACACTTATACTTATTATACTGAATTGCATAGAAGCAAGCGTGTTTTACTTGGAACCCGAAAAGGTAGCAGAGTAAGAATCCAACAATTAGTAAGGATAAAGACGTCTTTTAATTTTGACAAAAAAAACTCAAATCGGAAAACTTTTTATTCGTACGTAGGTCATTAACTAATATCGAAATTGAATTATTTGAATAATGAAAATTATTTTAAATTTTCATAAATACAATTAAACTAAACGTCTTCACTGCGCTGGAGGAAAACTCCTATTTAACTTTGCCAATCGATTTTTTTTTAATTCCTTTTTTTTAATTTTATTATTATTTTTTTTTTGCTATTCAAAACACACTTCGATTTCAACCAACTTTTCGAATAAATTTTTTTAAAACATTTTTTTTTTTTTGTTGTTAAAATTACGGAGCGCATCAACATCTGGCAGCTGCTAATTAATACACACTGAGGTTAAAGGAAATATTTTCAAAATCCTTGTGTATTCACCTCTCTCCGTTTATTTACAAAAAAAAATGTATTTTTGCTTCTTCAACTTTATTAAAAATCCATTATAAGCAATGCGGCCGCTATACAAAAACTAAACGCTGAACTTACTATGTCAGTACATTATATAGACACCCAGCAAAACGCTTTAAGGAAAATATTAGTTAACTCTGGCATTAACTTGCTTATTTGTTGTAATTTCATTGCATTATAGTCACAACATTTATAATGAACAAATTACTTAATAACTCATTCATGTCATGCAATATTAAATACGGTTAAGCGGAATAATACAACCCCCATAGAGATACACCCTGTATTTGAAATTTCTTTAAACATCTATAGATTATACGCAGACATTCAACTCGTCTTAAATTTCGAGATTGGGTAGGTTTATCCCTTGCTCTTTCTCATATTGTAAGGCGTGTTACTAGAGGGTGGTCCTCTCGTGGTTTCAAAAACGCAGTGCTGTATTTTGATATCTGTCAAACTTAACTGTCAAACCAAACATTTTCTTTTATTTTATGTAAAAATTAGGCATTTATGTATGAAAATCGATCGCTCAGAAATTATTAAAACATAATGCAAAAATAGTGATTCAAACGTAACTACGTTTTTTGTTTTTTGGAACAAAATTTTCTTCAGCGACGTGGCGCATTTCTCCCACAGGGATACGCAAATTGGCAAGATTGTCGCATTTGGGACTCCGAGAATCCTCAAATAATTGCAGAGAGGCCATTACACAAAAAAAAAGGAGCTGTGTGCTCTTTGGTCTGGGGATGTGATTGGACCTTTACTCTTTGAAAATGCCAAGTGCAAGTCAAGTCAAGTTAAGATACCTCCCAAAAAGTATTAAAAGGTGGCCAAAAAATAACCTCAAACGAATTGAATTTTGCGCAAATTTCCGAGGCGGTCATTTGAATGATTTACTGTTACACATATGCATTATGCCAAGATTCAAACTTTATGAGAAAAAAGGAATTTCGAAACTGCAAAATCTATAATCCTGTATTTTAAAATATTATTCCACGCTGAAAGGAATGCAAATTCGAAACTTGGTTCATTTCGAGTTTTAATTTTCCTGTTTTTTTTTTGTTTTTTACTTATAAGCTACTAATTATACTGACTTCGCATGAGACTGACGTCGCATGTTATGTTTTGAAATGCATGCATATATAGATACTTATACTTGTTATGTATACAATATGACGTATTTTGAAGATCATTTAAATTGCGTGCAATTTTCTATGCCCGAAGTCTGTACTTGCACACGTAAAATGTTTGCTGCTTTCCGATTTCGATGATTTTCAGTGTCAATGTTTATTTGTATTTGCGTGTGTAGAATACTAAATTTCTCACCCTCAAATGCTCTTCTGATGAATTTATGACCCAAAATCGGAAATCTCAAAAACTGGTCGTATATGTATATATTATTGTTGTCCAATGTTGTCGTTTCCAACAAATGATCGCCTCAAAGTACCAGTGCATCTGTGTATAAGTTACGGACTAATTATCGTACAAACTTGCATAAATCAACACAACTGGTCATTCGCATCATTTCGGTATAAATTTTGTTGGATGCTCTCTTCCCCTACTGTTTCTACGTTCAGTAAATGAAAACTTGAATTAGCTGCTTTAGTAACTATACCCTCACATTGCTCAGAACGGGCGATCTCTTATTTGTCATTGTGAAATTCAACATTTCCTTTCATATACAGTATTAGCCAAAACTAGAAAAAAATACTCCTTACTCCTCCATACTGGACAGAGAGGAAGGAATCTTGGTCAAATTAGGAAGTGAATTGCTACTCACGGTATCTAAACCAGCAAGAAGTTAATCCTTATAAAAATAAGTAACCGTTTTTGAGTCTTGCAGCAACTCAGCAGCATTTTTATGAAGATTCAAGTTATATTTAGATCACCATCACCCTGGCAAAACAAAAACGGAATACGGTCATCGTTAAATTCAAATTTTCAATCGTATTTCTGTCACAAGCATGGGGACGAATATCTGTTTGCAGACAGTGATTTATAAATGACAATTTCCTTATTGAATTTTTATTTATTTGGAAAGTAATGGTAATTCTAACCTGTGTATACAGTATGTATTTAAAAACTTTGATTAAATAAAACGGCGCTTATTTATTTGTGTCTTCAAGTTAGCCCAAAAACCCACTAATTATCCAAAAAATAATAATGCAATCCTGACTTTCTGGATTTTTTGAGCATTTTTAAATTTAAGAACACCTAAATGCACAAAACTTATTTCACAGCTTCCTGACAATAATTGCAGCCTTGTGTAATTGATTATTATGTGAAACAATTAATATGTATATATATATATATTTTTTTTTTGTTCATCAACGTACGACGCCCTTTGTATGTAACTAATATTAGACTTCCCGAAATTAACGCATGTCAATTGGAAACTGCTCCCATTCGTTTCGTGTGTATCTCGGTTATTTCAGAAAGAAAGAAATAAACTTGTTTAAGCTAAATAATAGAATAAAATGTTTTTGTATTAGCAACGCGATTTAATTGACTTTATTCATATTTGCTTTTCAGATAAAACTGAATTGGTGTTCGGATGATAGAATTTCGTATCACAATGCGTTCGCCATCTACCCTGTCGGAAACGCGGTAGTATATTAAGCTAGTTGGTCATTGGTTAATCCATGACGAAAAACTTTAAGTTTCATTCAAGATATTGTCAGCATTAATAGTTTTGTTTTTCGAATTTTTTTTTCAAAATCTTTGCAATTTTGTCCATTTTTCATGAGAAAATATCAGAGATGCATGCGCAACTAACGAAACTATACCATTGTTTTGTTAATATGAAAAATTACTTCACTTTTAACGATTAACATTTTCTGTTGACGTTTTAACATAATCTGTTGACGTTTTAACATGATCTGTTGACGCTTTAACATGATCTGTTGACGTTTCAACATGATCTGTTGACGTTTTAACATCAACTGTAGCATTTCATTTCGGGACAAAATCGAAATCAAATCTATTTTGATAACTACTTTAACAATAATATTTTCAAATATTTCAACCTATTCGATTGAGTTTTTTTTTTGAAATTTATCATTACAAGCAGCCTTGGAAAATGTGCATATAATACACATATCCGGGGCATGCATCGCATTGCTATACATTAGTAGAAGTACATATATGTATCTGCTATTATATTGGCAATACGTACGTACATATCTATGTTGTATATATCTATTTTATCAAAGTAATCTATTGAGCAAATTAACAACAGTTTAAGTAATTGGTTTTCTTTTTGTTTTATTATGGCAATTTTATTTACTGATTTTTATATACTTTTGGATATTTTCTTTTCATTGCTGTTAGCGTCACTTGGCTGCGAAAAGTGTATTGTCACTCGAAATTGTGTCGATTTTCATTGATTGCCAGCTCTTGTAAAGACAGAAATAAAGGTTTTGCCTACACAAACGTACATGCCCATATAGCATACACATAAAGAATTTGCCTATGTAGCATAAAATTGATTAAATTCGGTTGAATAAGCTTTGGACATCGTTCATCAGACAAACGAATTGGGTGGAGAAAATAAAACTGCAACATAGTGCAACATCACAAAGTTAATTAAAACCAAATTAATTTTCGATTTTCTGATGTACATGTCTGCCATGCAGGAAAAAACTAATTTTTTAATTTTTTCCATTATAACAATTGAACTGACATAAAGTATGTATCCTCTAAAGAATCTGGTATTCAGAAAAACAGGAAATCTACGCGTGTATTTCTGACATGTACTCGTATTAAAGGCTCCTCATAAAAAAAAAAAACATCAGCCATTAGGCGGCTGTCTAGAAAAACCAGCAGGTTCTTTCATCTAAACGCCAACCAATGGTTATAAAGCACTAATACTAATGATAATCGAACAAATATTTGGGGAAGATAATGGACTTAAGATATATAGTAAGTGAAGATTATATAACACTTTTATATAAAGAAACCGCACTTAAAACTTCTTACATAAACCTAGCTGAGTAATCACTCTAAACATACAAGAAAAGTGCTAAAAATAACGTTAAGTGTTTTTTGAGTCCATCGAGAACAGACAGACAGACGTGTAAAGGAACTTTGTTTTATAATATTTAGAGATTAACTCCTCAGTAACCTCAAGACATTAACTGTTGAATTTCAAGTTAAATTTCGATTGAATGTGTACTTTTGTAATTAGAATTTTTATTGTAAATTATAAAAAAAATCTATATTTTTGTACATGTCGTCATATATTATATGTACACTTTTAAAGGAAATAAATATGTGTGTAATTGTATATTGAAAATACCATCAGAAACATTAGTCAATACCTAATTCACCTTTTCCTTCTTATTTTGTACATTCCAGCTTCTTGCAATTATTTTCATTAATTTATACATTAGCCATAAGGTAAACACGAGTAGACATAGTGGTACACCAAATAGCACCGTAATTGTGTCTATGCTATGATATTCAAAAAAATTTAGATCCCTTGCAGCTACACGCATGTGTGGTGCGCCATGATGTCGTAAAGTATATTCCGTCCAATAGATGGCCCGCTCCAACGGCTTCATCGGTTGATCATGATACAAGCGTGAAATCTCTGCAGCACGTTGCGCATACTTTGGATTCTGCAACACCTCCAATATGGCACTCTTCAAACCAGCGGCCGTGAATTCGCCGAAATTGATACTCAAAGCAAAACCTTTCGCCTCTGCGCGTACCATATTTATAAATTGATCATACATAATGGCCATGCCCACTATCGGCTTACCATAATGAATTGTCTCGATTGTGCTCAATAGGCCGCCATGTGTTATGAATAGTTTCACCTTGGGATGCGCTAAAATGTCGGCTTGTGGAAACCATTTACTGATGTATACATTTTTCGGTTTTCCAGGTAACTCCGGTGCTTCAAACTTCCAGAGTATGTTGTAGGGTAGTGCAGCAAAAACCTTCATTAAAATGCTAATTTTTTCTTTAGACAAATTTTTACTATTTATATTTGAGCCCAGTGAGAAATAGATAGCACCATTTGCAGAGGCATTGATGAATTCTTCCATGTCCGTGGGTAGGCTTTTGGGTTTGTGGCTTATATGAAAACCAGCTACTTCGATTGCGTTCGGTACGTATGGACGTGGTAGGCCTATTGAGAAATGTTGATTCAGCAGCAGAAGTGAAAAATTTTTTCGAATTTCCATGAAATCGGTGGTTGGATTTTTAACATATTCCCTATACAAGTCATATTGCAAAGGTAAAATCTTGTAATGGTAATGCAACATATCTAAAACAGATATATATAAGCTTTCTAGGCGTTGGTAAAAATTCATGTGATCGGTGAAATGGCTTGTCACTGCCGGTATATAAGAGAGTGGCGATACATTATCCACTAACTCATCAATACGTATATCGGTGCCAAAACTGGATACGCCAACGAGTAGCGCTTTGAAGTGATGTGCCAATGCATAGAGAGCATCCTGTTCTAGCGCTTCTACAATGAGAAGATCAAATGTATCACCATTGGTTAGCCATTTCTGTACTTCTGGGTGTTCCAGCACTTTTCGTGTGGATGAAGTTAAAAAATCGATGCCCAAATCTAACGCTTCCCATGTGCTAATCGACGGAAAATTCCCATCTAAAATGATATCTGTAAAATAAAAGGAACAAATATAGTCGAGAATCTTTAAATCAAAAATAGCGATTATTTATTATACGAATCTAATTATTGCCTTCAGTGGTTACAAGGCGACAGATATATAAATATATGTATATAAATATATATATTTATATATAAATATACATATGCTACATTGATCATCCTAGCATAGGTAGTGTGTGACTGGATATCAATTCGATATTGGATTATTTATATAACCAAATTTTCCTTAAAACCAAGCTAATATCGCATTACATAAACCATATAATTAGTTAATTAAGTGGATTTTTAAAATGTAGATAACCCGAATAAAAATTAAATAAATATCAAAATAAAATTTTCTCACCCAATGCCAGCCTGTATGCACATTTTTTAGGACTTTTCACGTTTATTTCGAATTTAAGTTCAAATTTATTGTTATTTCCTTAATTATATTTTTGACCCCCACAAGGTTATGTAGTTATTAATTAGTTCATTCTTCATTCTCAGGGCCTTAAAATAAAAGCCATAAATTTCACTTTAATCAAGCAAGCACAATCGATTCAGTTAATATATATATAAATAAATAATATACGTTATGATAATAATAAAGTTAATAGTTGAAGTGGCGCATGCTGTTAATATCATAGCAAGCAGCCTTTTTAAGATTAACATTATCGATGAGTTTTTTGCGGTTTCAACATTAAAACTTTCATTTCGTTTCGTTAACAGTGCGACAAAACGGAACAAAGTCATTTTGTTTAGTTTATTTTTCGTATTAACCGAACGAAATGACATCGTTTCGTTACTTGAGCATAACTGATGTATATACATACATATATGTAAATATACTTACCGCTCCAATCGTGCGACTCGAAAACAATTGGGACATCGTTAAAATTTTGCAAAGGCTTCGCTTGTGGAAATGCGGAAATTACAGTAACATTATGACCTCTAGCTGCCAATGCTTTCAAGTAATTCTCCGCACAGATATATTGTGAGCGCCCACTGAATGGAAAAATTGCCAAAATTTTGGCGCCATTCAAGCTTTCAAAGAAACTTGCGTTGATGACCAACAACAATAATAGGCTAGTTAATGGCGTATATTTTTTCATTTTGTAACTAACGATAAACTTTTTGTTTTTGTTTTTGTTTTTGTTGATATAATTTATATTACTACACACATGTATGTATGTAGGTTTTACAAATAATGCCCAAAGAAATGTAAAAACACAACCCGTTAACAAGACTAATGCTAAACAACTAAATTGTTTGCTTATTAAAAATACATTATTGTGTACTGAAATCTCTCTTTACTGTTACTCAAACTATTTCTCTCAACTAATTTTGACTCAAAAAGCTTTTTTGTTATTATCTCAAACAACTCAAGATTAAAATACGTTTAGCTCGAGGCGTACATAACATACATATATGAATGATTTGTTTATCATAATACATACATACATACATACTCGTTTATATGTACACTGCAACTAAGTTATACAGCACTCAGTCCATGCTATAGCGATAATGACGAACTAGTGCAAAACGAATACAGAATTGACACCAAAGTGGATACTCTCGATATAACAGAGTAAAGCTTTGATTTCCTTCAGCAATTGAATTGAATAATAATTGTTAAGCAAATATTCATTATTTATAAATAATTTGCAAGCAATGCAACTTCATCGGTTATCAATTTCCACTTGAAAAACAGTTAAGCATGCTTGTCAACTATTAAACAGGTGGAAGAGTAGAGCGTTACGTGTAGATAAACACATATCCACGGCTTATCAACTGCTTTCCAAAACCAGTCGTGGCTCCAACTAACCCAAGAGCGCATATGAAGTCTTTGCAGATTAACTTAAGAGTTCATGAAGAATTGCAGTCAGCATATACAATAAAACAATATATTTTTAGCGATCGAGGAACGCGTTTATTTGGGATTTAATTTTCCAAAAAATGTGATATAAAAATATTTACAGTAAACTCTTTCAACCAACTCGTACCAGTGGAATTTACCACAGATCGGACAAAATTTTTTCAAACACTTCGCCAGAATACCAAATTCAATTTCGGGTGTTAAAAAAAGTAACAAAATCTACTTTACCGTTAACAATGAGAATAGGCCGGTAACTGTAACTTTTTCTTAACCATTTCCCACTCAGCCAATTGAGGTCAAGATCATGCATTCTTTATGTAAAAGAACCACTTCCGAAGGCTTGATAATAACGCTTAATACCGAGTACTCGTAATGGTATAACTTTCTAGCGTAATGGTTGGGAGGTAGTTCCGTACGAGTGCTCTTTTCTGCTTATTAGATTTAGTGGAAAAGAAGTATAGTTTTCAAACATATTTGTGGAGAGTATTAATTTAATTGATTGATAAGAAAAATAAGTTTCATCTAACTTTTATTTTTATTCCTTTAATTTTATAAGTAAAATTATTATTTCGAATTTGTATTTAACGCATTTCACGGTGTAATCACTCTCAGATAGTGACAGCTGCGCTCTCAGTCGTTAATCAAGCAAGCATAAGCACTAAAGAGAGCAACGATTGATGTTGATTAAGAGAGAGCAACGCAATTAGAAATACTGAATTGCTTTGAAAGTATGTACATTTGTATAATGAAATAAATAATAAAACTACTGAATGCAACTAAACTTTGTACGTTTAAATCACATTAATGAGGTGTCTGCAGCAAAATTTGGTAGCTAGTCATTAATTTTTTTTTTGATTATATTAAATTAAATATTCAAATTCAAAGATGAGGCATTCCTACATATAAGCAGCTCCATTAAAAAAAAACTACAGTTCGTTTAGTAGATATACCTTTTTTTAGAAAAAACAAAAAAAAAACAATTTTGTTTAAAAGTAATTTCGGAAGGCCCGGGCTCAAACCCTGGTGCGACCGTATACAAAAAAATATAGAAAATTAATTGAAATAAAAAATTAAGTTAAATTTTCTAATTGTGGTCGCCCCTCGCAAGGAATGTCAACCCCTCCGAGTGTATTTCTCACATGAAATAAAGGCACCTCATAAAAAAATCATCAGCCGTTCGGAGGCGGCTTAGTATAAACTGTAGGTTCCTCCCTTTGTTGGAAGAGATCAAGGCACAAAACCAAAAACTGGAGGATGAGTTCGGCCGAATATCGCTTAAGCGGTTCTAAAGCGTAAATGTATACTCGCATATATATACGATCAGGTTTTTCGTTTTCGATCATTATCGGTGTCAATGTTTATTTGTATATACCTGTGTAGAATACTAACTTTAACGCTTTTAGGTGGTTTTTTGATAAGTATTTGGCCAAAAATCTTCATATCTTGACAAATGGGTTATATAATCCTCCGAATTTGATGAATTTCGTTGGCAACTCACGCTTCCAGTTGCTTTTTTGACATAGTTCTAACCTCTTATCTGAGAATCTCATTGTACAAGAGGTTTATGTTTTAGGTGTCCGATTTCGATTGCTTTCAGTATTAATATAAATACAAGTCATCAAATATGTGCAGATTAAGAACGATTTAAATGGTCCAAAATCTCAAATCTGAAATATCGATCGTATATATGCTATAGTGGCCCGATCTAGCAGGTTTAGACAGCTGATCGTTTAAATGTGTACCACGTTTGGTTGAAATATTGAAGAAATTGAGGAACTGAGTTTCGTACAAACAGACAGACAGACGGGTATGGTATGGCTAAGTGAATTCAACTTGCCATTCGGATTCGACCTTTTTTTCTTCTGGTACTCACATATTTCGGAACAAAGAAGAAACCATCAGAATCAGATAAAAGCTTCTAAATTCCCTTGGCATTACTTTTAAAAACAAACCTTTTTCTTTCGTTTCTTATGTTTTTATGCTACATAAAATGAAATCCAAAAAATTTAAATCCCAACATAATTCTGCCAATTAATTCCGCGTTTAAGTTCCGTGATCGAAATGCAGACCATAGGATGCCTCAAGTAATATGTTTCGTGGAGATAAAGATTTCAATTAATTGAATTCAATGGGTTTAAAGCAGCATACTAGCGGCACAGCCGAAACCGACTCTCGGGGAGTAAAATGAATTTTAGTTAAAAGAAAATCCCAAATACACACAATCTCTTCAAAAACCTTCTCTGACAGCAATATTTCATAAATTTATGTATGAGTTTTCCAAAAAAGTTTAATTTTTGTCCAAGCTCTTGGAGGGTGCAATGTTCACCAATTCGCCAGCTGGAGCCGCCAATGTTAACAACAATCATTTCGTTAATTAAATTGTTGATGAATATGATAATTAAGTTCAAATGTTTTATTTGATTGAATTTTTTCTTTACGAGCAATTATCGCACAGAATAACCGAAACTTATCAGTCCTTGAAATAATATTCAAACAAATAATCAGCAAAGATTCTGCTTGCTGGCGAAGACTACAAATATGCAAGTCATCGCTGATTTCTAAAATTCGATTTCCAACTGCAGAGCAATCAGAAGAAAGTAGGCCAGCACAAAGAAATAATAATTGATTTCATTTAAATGTTTATTTTCCAATTTATGTATAAATAATCATACCACAAATAATCTATTCTGCTTTACGTTTCTTTACATCACATTGCGAAATACTTTTGCTACCATAAACAACAAGTGATAACTTAAAAATACAGTAGATTACTGAAATCGCTAACAAAATTGGAATACCAAACAATACTGCCATTGTGTCTACGCTATGCCTTTGCAAGAAGTTCAAATGACGCGCTGCCACACGCAGTTGTGGTGCACCTTTATGTCTCAGCACATACTCCGTCCAATAGATCGCTGCATCGAGCGGTTTCATTGGTCGATCATGAAAGCCTGCTGAGACTTCACGCGCTCTTTCCGCATACGTGGGATTGTTTAACACTTCTAAAATGGCGTCACGAAATTCTTCGCTGGTGAAATTTCTAAAATCCAAACCTACTCCCAAGCCATTGTTCACAGCGCGCTCCACATTCAAATGCTGATCGTAGAAGACGGGCAAACCCACAATCGGTTTGCCATGATGCACAACCTCTATGCTACTATGCATGCCACCATGTGTGATGAACAATTTCACTTTGGGATGTGCAAGTATGTCTTGTTGTGGAAACCATTTATTGATGAAGACATTTTTAGGTTTACCCGGTAGATCGGTCTTTTCGAACTTCCACAACACGTTTACTGGCAACGAGGCGAAGGCATCCATAATGGCGCTCAATTTTTCTCTGGGCAAGTATGTACTCTTTATATTCGAACCGAGTGAGAAATAGATAGCACCTTTTGGCGAGGCATTGATGAAAGCCTCCATATCGGCTGGTAGTTTCTTTGGAATGTGTTCAACATGCATGCCGGCGATTTCAATTGCGTTCGGCACTAGTGGACGCGCCCAGCTGAATGCGTAGTGTTGATTGAGCAGCAAAAGTGAGAAATTTCTACGTACCTCACTTAAATCTAATGTGGCATTGGGGAAATACTGCTCATAAAATCGTTGTTGTGCAGGCAATAAAACGAGCTTATCGTATAGCCATTCCATAGTGTTGATATATAAATTATCTAAACGTTGCCAGAAATTCATTTCATGCAACTGCCTGCCACTAGGCGCTGACACATATGATACTGGTGAAACATTGTCCACCAACTGATCGACAACCACATCTCTGCCGAATGTTGAGACACCAATCATGGGCGCTTTAAAATGGTGGCCCAAAGCATAGAGTGCCTCTTGAGAGAATACTTCAATAATAATGAGATCAAATTCTTCATTCGACCACAACAGTTGCTGGAATTCCTCATTTTTCAGCACTGCCAAAGTTGCCGGCAATACATAACCCTTCACGAAACGCAATTCATTTAGTTTACTTCCAGCGAAATTTTCCATGGCATACTTTATATAATCTGAAAATGGGCAGGAATATGGGGAATAAAATTGAAAAATTAAAATGGTAACACTTACCATTATGATCAGCATCTGTATTTTTTATAGCTATATCTCGAAAATTTTTCAGTGGAGTTTTCTGCGGAAATACCGAAACGGAAGTGATTTCATGACCGCGCGCTGCCAATGCCTTCAAATACGGCTGGACGAGCAAGTATTGCGAAGGACCCGTGAAAGGAAATATTGAGAGTATTTTCGCAGATTCCAAGTAATTTGGAGTGAGAACGATCAACGCCAACGCCAATATTGTAAAAGTAATTTTTGTCATTTTCGTAACTTTCTCACTTGCGCGGTCAACAATTGTTATCAGGCAACTGAAATGATTTGTTTAGAAAAGGCGGCCTTTTATTTATATTCAATGAACGATGCTCTAAGTAAGCAAAGCATGTATTATCAAATACAAATCAATTCTGCAGCTAACATTGTAGTCTTATTTACCAAGCGAGCGTTTTAATGAGAGTCAATTTCATAAAAGTGGAACTCCATAGTACGCGTGGGCTTCTCCGCATACTTGACGGCATTTGCAAAAGGCTCTAGCATAACTTTCATGCGTTGGATAGGTTTAAATCATGTCCGCTACACCTCCACCATTTCAATTCAGTTAAGTTAAGTTAGTGCAAATGTATGAAAGCCGTAGTTTCCTAATATCATACTAAAGTTATATGAGGTGCTTAGAGATTTCTATCTCGTGTTGCTCAAATCAACGGGCGCATTTGAAATCGCTGGCAAAGAAACTACCAGCCGATTTAGAGACTTTCACTAATGCCTCATCCGGAGGTACTTCTCACTTCTCACTCGATTCGAACGTAAAGCGTAAGCAAAATTGAATAAGAACTTGAATGCCTTTGCCTCGTTACCAATTCACAAATTTACATGTAGGACATCGAATGCGAGCTTAATAATGAATACCACAGAAAATGCATTATGGATCTCTTCGGGCTTTCCGGATTGACAAATGATGCCGCTTAAAGCCGCGAACTATAAGACTGAATACGTTTTGGGTATCCTTCAACGACACAATTTGGATGCAATTGTATTATTGATTAGTGTCCCATTTCTCTAAGCTTGGGAACAGAAATCGCATATTTAAGAGTTTTGAAAGATGTTGGTAAATGTTACAGTAGAATTTATTCATCAAATACAATGGCTTTAGGTGGTGTGAACCTCATATGGAAAATTAGAAGTTGTGCGGAATGGCCCCTCCTCGCATGGTTGGAGGTGGTGCGGTAACACCATTTCATGTTTTGCTAGAAGAGTTTATTGACCGCAGGGACTCTTTAAGATTGTAGAAGCAGGAGAGCGCTCTGAGTGTTTTTACTAGCCCATCTTACACCACTTCGAAATTCGGTGCATTTCAGACATCCAATGCGTAGCACGCATCCTTAGCTTCGCATCTTATCTACACTTTAAAATTAAAACTTCACTGTCCACTTCGGTATTTCATGATGTACATGATTATATTTATATGTACATCAGGTTGGCAGAAAGCTTTAAATTACCGCCTAAAAGTACGGCGAAGGTGTTAGGCACAGGGTGATGGCCGCTCAAATTTTAAATTCCCTAATCGCTTACACTGCATTGTTGTTGGTATTCTCTATAATCTATTTTGTAATTTGTTTAATATTCAGCTCTTAGCAAAATGTATATACTAGGTATCTATCATTACTATCTACTTTGTAACTGCTGAGCCGATTTTGTTCAAATTTTCAGCATAGCTTTAATGAAGTTCGAATATTTTGAACGAGTTGCTATCCTTCAAAAAACTAGAATTCTGAAAATATATACATATATCTGTTTTTCAATTATCTTGAAGCTTGGTACACGGGAAGCTTCCTTAAATTAGGATCAGATTCACCTTTTTTCCCTGAAAATCGACCTGATACCAATTTATAGAGTTTATTTATAGAGTTTATTTGTAGAGTTTTCCAATAAGAGTTATTATTTTGATATTCAAACGCTCTTTATCCATAAAAGATCGATGATTGTGTAGCTTATGTGGCACGTAGCGCCGTCTAGTTGAAAGAAAACGTTGTACAGATCAATACCATCCAATTTTGGTCATAAATAATCATTAATCAACCCTCCGCTCATTTGCGAAACAGTTAGATAAGGTCACTACGCCGGACCAAACAGACTGGAGAAGCTTTTCAACAATATATCTCAGATTTTCCGAGAGCCAAATGTGAGAGATTTGCTTATTGATGTGGAAATCAGTAAAGATGATTTTTCGGTGACAACAGGCTACTAAAAATGAAAACTCTTATTGGAAAAACCTCCTTCAAAAAATCAGAATTATAGGTAGCAAGCTCGGTTTGCTGGAAATTTAGTACAGCAGAAAATGTCAGGTCTTCCGATTGTATTTCTGGCAGGCAGTTCGAAAGCGTTTTTGAACAAAGTGCAGGTCTCTTTATTTGTCGCAAAACGACCCACACAACTTGGAGTAGAAACTCGGTCAAAAGATTTTTCAACGGTTATAAAACGCTAAATATATATGTATTTATATATACTCTATTCTGGTGGTGAGATCACTTATCACAACAGATTAATGAAATTTGATATAATTTGGACAGAAATATAGATCGTGCCGATCTTCGTCAATTAAGTATACTGTTAGACTGACAGAGAGCGCAAACGTAGATGAACTTAGCGACGTCCAGTTTACTTCGAACAATTTATATTTTCATTTTAATGAAAGAATTTGATTAGCGAAATTGACATTTATCTCTGATTATAACGAGATTATATTATGCAAACAATAACCTAGTAATATGTACAGCTCAATGTTCAACATCCTTTACTCAGCACTTCAGCACCTACATAACATTACAGAGAGCCCCAACAGTGGGACCGAAACGGCAAGTTTAACATAGAAATTGAATAAAATACTCTAGATATTTGTCAAAAATGATTGATTGAACAATAGTCAGTGGGTTAAATGAAATTGTGTTGTGTTTATCATTAAAATTAAAGTAAATATTATTATTAATATTAAAATAAATATCAGACGCTCGATCAATTATCACTTCATAGTACTTCTTCAGTGCATGAAATGTGTTGTTTTAATTTTTCGATTAGTTCGGATTATTTGAAAGTTATTGAGAACAAGTTATAACATGTACATAGACGGATTTATGCAAGTCATTCCATTCATGTCGTGTGGAAAAATTCCTAAATATTATGTGACTTCCAGAGCGCAAAGCATACGGAGATTTATTTAACCAAACGCAAAAAAATTTAATTTTTATTGCTACTTTAAACTTTTTGTTAGCAGCAAATATCGTAAAATAAACTTTGTAGTCATGATAAATATTTTTTGTTAGCAGCAAATATCGTAAAATAAACTTTGTAGTCATGGTAAATACTAAAATTATTTTGCAGAATTTCTTTAAATATGTGCAAAGTCATGTTGAAGAGAAAACGCTGGCAATAACAGAGACCCTAACTAGACTTTCAGATGTAGATAACATCACTTATTATGAGCACACCCAAGAGCATTAACACTTCAGCAGGAAAGCCCAGACAGCACTATTTTTCTTTTATCTGCAGACTCGTTTAATCAGTAACTTATCAACCCATGAAGATTAATTGCGCCGATTTTTGTGAATGCTGAATACATATATTTCTAAATTTAGTACCATTTTAGACTGACTAATCTAACAAACTTCTGCGAGTTATCTAAAATTCATAAAAAAACAATACTTAATTTCAATAGTGCTGCGTAATGCGCTCCTCTAAAAAGTTAATCAACGAAAATAATCAACATCTTCTTTACAAAGTATTTCATAATTTATTCATTTTTGCTCTTCTTAAGATTAATGTTCGTGTTATTTACGTTGCTATATAATGCAAATAGTAATTTATATAATATATAAGTTAATAAAGTTGCTAACAAAATTGGAATACCAAACAATATCGCCATTGTGTCCAAACTATGCCTTTGCAGGAAGTTCAAATGTCGCGCTGCCACACGCATTTGCGGCGCACCCTTATGTCTCAGCACATACTCCGTCCAATAGACCGCTGCATCGAGCGGTTTCATTGGTCGATCATGAAAGCGTGCTGAAAGCTCTTTTGCTCTTTCCGCATACTTCGGATTGTTTAACACTTCTAATATGGCATCCCGCAATTCTCCACTCGTAAAGTTTTGGAAATTCACTGCCACACCGAAACCGTTGCTCACAGCGCGTTGTACATTTAAATGCTGATCGTAGAAGACAGCCATACCCACAATTGGTTTGCCATGATGCAAAAGCTCTACCGTACTATGCATGCCACCATGTGTAACGAAGAGTTTCACTTTAGGGTGTGCCAGTATGTCCTGCTGTGGAAACCATTCATTGATGAAGACATTGTTAGGTTTACCCGGCAGATCGGTCTTTTCGAACTTCCACAACACGTTTACCGGTAACGACGCGAAGGCATCCATAATAGCCTTTATTTTCTCTTTTGGCAAAAGTGCACTCCTTACGTTCGAACCGAGTGAGAAATAGATAGCACCTTTGGGTGAGGCATTGATGAAAGCCTCCATATCGGCTGGTAGTTTCTTTGGAATGTGCTCAACATGCATGCCAGCGATTTCAATGGCGTTCGGCACTAGTGGACGGGGCAAATCATATGAATAGTGTTGATTCAGCAGCAGAAGCGAGAAATCTCTACGCACCTCACTTAAATCTAGTGTGGCATTTGGAAAATATCTTTCGTATAAACGCTGTTGAGCAGGTATTAGAACATATCGATTGTATAGCCATTCCAAAGTGTAGACATATAAATTATCTAAGCGCTGCCATATATCCAAACGATCCATTTGTTGACCACTTGGGGCTGGCACATATGACACTGGTGAGATATTATCCACCAACTGGTCGACAGCCAGATCGGCAGCAGAGGCGCAGATACCAACCATAGGCGCTTTAAAATGTGAACCCAGAGCGTAAAGTGCATCCAGATAGAGTGCTTCTATAATGATGAGATCGAAATGCTCATTGCCGCGTAGTAATTGTTGAAATTCTTCATTAGTCAGCGCAACCTCAGTGCTGGATAATGAATATTGCTTTAACAAATTTAACTGTTGAACTTTGGTGCCAGCCATTTCTTCAATAGCCGCGCTAACCAGTTCTAAAAAATGGCAAAAATATTTTGAAACCATTAATAACGAAAAATAATAGTTAAGAAGACAAATGTTCATACAAACCTTCATGATTGGCGACTTGCTCAAATTTCAAGGTTATTTCCCGAAAGTTTTTTATTGGAGTTTTCTGAGGAAATGCAGATATGACTGTAAGTTCATGGCCGCGCGCCGCCAGCGCTTTCAAATACGGTTGAACGAGTATATACTGTGAAGGACCTCTAAATGGAAATACTGCAAGTATTTTCGCGGATTCAACACGACTGGGCATGAAAGCAAAGCATGCTAGTGCCAATATTACAAATAAAATGCGCACCATTCTAATAACTAACGTCTTGATCAGCAGCAGCGAAGCAACTGAAATGTTGTGCCCATGAAAATATTCTTTTTATGTGTATTTAGAAAGTGTAGTTCTTTGATTAAGTGTATGTAACGCAACTTGCGTAAATATTCAGTTAGAGATATTAACGGTAAATTAACCCTTCTAGCGCTTACTCATCAAGATGACTATGCGAAAAAATGTATGTAAATGAATTTGGTTTTAAAGTATTTTAGGGCATAGCACTTTAATTAACGAACACAGGAATCGGCTGGAGAAGGACCTAACGGTACTTGGTATTAAAAATTGCCAACAAACAGCAAAGAAATTGCCTTCAAACAAGCGTTGACACACTGTTCAATAAAGAAAAAAAATTAAATTCTTGATGTACAATTCATTGCTTAAATATTTCTAATTTACTTATTCATTTAAATTCTGTGTAAAATTTCTAGGTTTAGTTAGTACAATAGTATCCAAGATATTCGCCAAAATCCCATTTAAATTTACATTTATTTTGGGTAGTGAAAGGGTTAATTTATTTGGCAGCTACCGCACTACTATAACATATATTATATGTGTATGTGTAATTAGAAAAGCAATAAGTTTAGATTAGATTCTTACTATGCTCGTAAAGAGCATTGGAAAAATGTATATTTCCAGTCGGTCAGACATAACGGTATTATCGCATAAAGGTTTTTTTGTAAAGGCACAAAACATCATATTGTTCGGTATAACCACACGCATGCTCCACAGTAATTAGTAAGATGGACGGAAAACAAAGAAAAATTATGTACAAAGAACAGTTTCATATCTCTGTGCATATTTGAATTTGGCGCGTAGCTAGTTTAAATGCAACACTGCTCACATTAACGGCCAACCATTAACAGACTGTTGAGAACATTTGAGCCAAGCAGCGCAATTGAATTTATGCTTGGCAGCCATTGAAGGCGAGCAAATGTGTGCGTTTTTATAAAAAAGAGAAGAAGCGAGTTTTAGAAAGAAGAGCAGAAACAGTAAAAACTCTCGATTAAGCCTTGTTTACAAACTTGCAGAAATGTGAGGGGTAAATAATTGGGGTCAAATAAAACTCGGGTTTATTTTGAGGACCTCACACTGGGCTAAAAGCATCGAAATGAAATTAAACTTTTTTTTATATATTGTTTTATTGCATCTTTCCTTTTTGGAAACTAATAATAATTTCGAAAATCTTAAAGCTAATTCTTATTCCTAGAACAAGTTAATCATTACCACTGTATAGATTAACAAAGTAAGTAAAATACTATAAATAACGAATATAACTTAGATTTAGGATAGATTAGGGATACCGAGCACTCATGTTTAAAATTTAACAAAAGATATATCATAAAGGATAATTTGAAGTAAATTATAATTTCATGAAGTATATATGCGGGGCGCAGCTCCGAGGCAGAATAATTGGATGCGGCCCTTAGAGCCCGTAGTCACAGTTCAAACGTAAATCCTTTCTCTTTAATCGCTTAGGGTAGTTCTGCTGTAATAATTTTTTAGCTAGAAAGTTGATAGATAAATTTGACAAAAAGACACAAATTTTTTACGACTTGAACCTAAGATTAGCATTAATAATTAATTATTTATATTTTTTAACTTAATTGAAGTGAAAATTAACAAAAAATTTAACACTATATAAATTTTAGGTTAAAATTGTTTCATCTGAATTTCGACTATTTGTTTGCCCTTTTAAAATCTCAAATAACAACCGAATTTAATAGTCAAAACCGGAAGTTCGTACGCGTTTTCTTTCTTCCACAAAAAAATACAATTTTTGCCTGGTTGTACTCGTTCAAAGGCTGTAGTATGTATGTATATATACCATAGATCGTCTATCTGAACACATCGCATAAGGCGTCCAATATTTGATTGACGTAATCGCTTAGCAGAGCTGGTAATGCGAGCAACCACGGCTTTACTCAGAGAAGCCGTATAGTGGAGCAGAGTATGGAAGTCCATCCGCTTTATCGTGCCTGAATTAGAGGATGTTGACTGCCATTCACTTGGCAGTGTCCATAAATGATTTTTTTACATATGGTTCAAGCAGCTTACGACTTCCAGTCTTAGACCAAGTATCCCCTGGGTAGCCAACAAACGTCCGTTTGGAGGCGAGCTAAAGTGAGAAGGCGAATCCCATGCGGTTGTGTGTAGGGCTTTACACCCACCATATGAAAAATAAACTCCAATGAAAAGTTTTTGGGACAAGGTCGGAAGTAGGTGGGTCCTTGTGAAACTCCTTACAGCGGTAAATTTGGTGTCGGATTCGTGGTGGGCGAGAGACTCCGTCGCCGAGTACTGGTATTCACTCCGGTGGATGGAAGGTGGATTAATTTTCTCCTACGCGCGAGACGGAAGAGAAGGACGATGTAACCCAGGCTTGACCTATGGCTTTTATGATCGCCTTGAACATACTTATAAACGCTGCCCCGCCACACGAAAATCGTGCTCGGCGACTGTAATGCCAGGGTGGGCGAAGAAGATATCTTTGGTACGACTGTTGGACTATTCAGCCTTCAAAACGAAACATCCCCTAATGGGTTGCGGCTGATCGACTGCGCCGGGGCCTAAAATATAAATATATCTGTAGTAATAGATTCCAGCACAAAAAAATACATCAAGCTACTTGGCTGTCCCCTGATCGAAAAACACAAAACCAGATTGATCAGGTTGTGATAGACGGAAGACATGTCTCCAGTGTTCTTAACGTACGTACACTCCGAGGACCCAACATCGACTCGGATCACTATCTTGTTGCAGCGAAAATACACACATGCCTCCGTGTATCAAAAACATCCATTAGCAAACACAAGGAAGGTTCGGCGTCGAAAACCTGCAATCACAGCATACTGCCGAGCGATTTTCTACTCGGCTTTCTGAGAGCACCGATCATCACCTTAATATAAGGGAACTGTGGAACGGCATGTCATACTTCCTACGTACCGCCGTTACGGAATCAATTGTACCAGAAAAAAAGATGGTACGATGAGGAATGTCGAGCTGCAGTGAAGAGAAAACAGACTGTCTACCTAGCAGCCTTACGATCGACCACAACACATGCGGGGTGGGATAGATATCGAGAGCTGAAGAGGGAAGCAAGACGCATTTGCAGACAAAAAAAGAAAGTGGCCGAAAGAAGCTTTGTCGGCCAGCTCGAAAATTCTACGAAAATATACGGCGACGTACGGAGAGTTTCAAAACCGGAGCAAACTCTAGTAGCGGATGCTCAGAGCTATTCAAACATGGCAGGCAAGGTGCATGCATCAGTTTATTTGCAAAATATGGCCCGATGAAAGCATGCTCGACGATTGGAACCTATGTGTACTCTGTCCAATCCACAAAAATGTCTATCCCACATCGCCTATACGGTCCTGTCGAGCGTATTGTATGAAAGACTGAAGCGCATCGTCAACAAACTGATTGGATCTTATCAGGATAGCTTTAGATTTGATAAGTCAACCATTAACCATATATTCACCATATGCCCAATCTTGGAAAAGACCTGTGAAAAGAGGATCAACACACACCATCTCTTCGTCGCCTTTACACCGCTAGGTCTGAATTTGGTATCCCCGCAAAACTTATATGGCTGTGTAAGCTGACGCTAGGCAACACCAAACGCGCAGTCACAATTGGGAAGGGCCCTTCCGAGCCGTTCGGTACCAAACGAGGTTTCAGACAGAGTGACTCCTTGGCGTGTGATTTCTTCAATTTGATGCTGGAGAGTATAATAAGAGCTGCAGAACTGAATAGAGAAGGTACAATCTTCTATCAGAGTGTACAACTAATGGCGTACTCCGATGATATTGACATTTTCGGCCTCAACAACCGCGCCGTTAGTTCTGATTTTTCCGTATTAGATAAAGAAGCGGTCTGGTAGTGAAAGAGGCCAAAAAGAAATATCTCCTGTCCATAAAAAAACCGTCATCGCACGGCTCCCACGTCACTGTTGACACTCACAACTTTTAAGTCGTAGATAAATATACGAATTAGGAACCAGTAGTAACACCAATAACAATGTCAGCCAGGAGTTCCAACCCAGAATCACTCTTGCCAAGAGGTAATTGACATTGAAATAGTTCAGCGAATCCGGACACAGCGGCTACACTGGCTAGGTTATGTCGTCCGAATCGATGCAGTACCCACCGGCGGAAGCAGAGAAAGAGAAAGACCTCCACTCCGTTGGAAGAATCAGGTGGAGAGTGACCTGGCCTCACTTGATATTTGCAACTGGCGCCAAACAGTGCGAAAAAGGGATGAATGGCGCGCTATAATTAATTCGGCTATAATCGCGTAAGATATACCAAATGGCCTTCGCGGTAGCCGAGTGGTTAGCATTGTGTACTAATATTCGGAAGGCTCGGGTTCACATCCCGGAACCATTAACATCCAAAAGTAATGGAAAATTAATTGGAATAAAAAAATTAAGCTAAATTTTCTAATTACGGTCGCCCCTCGGCAGGGAATGTCAACCCCTTCGAGTGTACTTCTCACATGAAATAAAGGAAACTCATAAAAAAATTTAATTGAGCATGCAGTTGATAGTAAAAGTGAATCTTCTGGCAACTAGCACATTTACCCTAAAATATTTTATTAATAAATTAAATAAATTGTTGCCAGTCATCTAAGCATCGTAAAAGTAATTTCATTATACATACCATTAAAGTGTTTGTACTCCAGCTCTTGCAGTGATAAGAAAGTAAGCTAGAGCAATATTTTTAGTTCATATCGTAGTGTTTCTTCAAAGAGCTAATCCACTTAGAAAATAATTATCATCTTCAATTCAAATTGTTTCGTAATCTAATCTTTTTCCTCTTCTTAAGAACATTTTTCGTATAATTGAATTTAAATTGCGATATATAATTGCAATAAATAATCTATATAAAATACAAGCAGTTAAAATTACTCACAACACGTTCGGATTGTGTTGCGTGTGATTTCTTTCAATAAATGGAGGGACCTACAGCTTATTCTAAACGCCCTCCGAACGGCTGTTGGATTAAATTCCAACATATTCTCGTGAGAAGCAACCCACCCACCTCCGAATAAGAGAGGATATTTTGAAAAGGTGCTATTCCGTTAAGTGTCAATTTGAAGCTGTCACATACCATCCACAGAAAACCCAATTGTTGAAAGCCCACTTTATCCTCATCGTGTAGCTGTTTGTTACGCTTTAATGTCCGGCGGTGTCATTGGACCTTAATTTTTCGATAATGAATGGGTTGCGCTATCGTGAGATGCTTCAAGATTTTTTATGGCGAAATTAGATGGTATTGATCTAAAGAAAGTTTACTTGCAACAAGACGGCGCCTCGTGCCTCACAAGTAACGAGACCTTTAAGGGAAAAATTTATTTGAATATCATAATAACATAATGAAGTCCCCTATATTCTTAGTTATTCACTCAATAGATAAACAAGTGTACAGAATACTCTGTCTTACGAAATGTTTGCATAAAACTAACTTCATGTTGTTTAAAATTATTTATTTATGCAGCTATGGGACTACACAAAGTGATTTTTTAAACTTTGCCAGTGAAGCAAGTCTCCTAAAGTCAACTTATCAGATGTCGTATTCATCAGTGCTTCCGTACTCTACGCAAGACGAAAATGATGCGCGACTTGCAGAGTTCGATTTTTGTTCCTCGAAAGAAGACTTGACTTTTCAATTATCCATTCAGTCACAAGTAGCTCAAGTTATATATATATATATTATATATACATTTTATAGTCAAAAAATTTTAATGTCAACGTGAAATTTAATTCCCTATAACTGCCGCAGACGGATTAATAAATGAAGTACAAACAAAAGCGAGAAGATGCAACATTAATGAAAGTCTTTCTTTCCTAATGATGGCCAAACGTATGATTGTGGTTAGTTTTTATATTATCGGTCCCACCTTATTATTCAAAAAATAATTTCAATTTCATTCGTATAATTATTTTTGTGAGTAAACTGATTAATACATTTTTATTTCTCTTTCAATTTAATCTCGTATACTGCCGCCATCATATTCATAATTATGATAACAGCCAATCTATTTTTCCCCTGAGAACATACATCTGATCAACTGATAAACTGTCTTCACCCCCTTACCTCGGAATTGAGTATATTATTGTTACGTAAGCGTGTATGTGTAATCTAACAAATTTCTGCAAGTCATCAAAGCATTAAACTCGTACATACATACATGCTTTTAAAGTGGACGTAGTCTGGCTCTTGTAGTAAGCCTTAGAAATCGTTTTATCACGCATTATAAGAGTGTTTGTTTCAAGAGGTTCAATTTAAGATATTTACTAATTTATTCATTTTTCCTCTTCTTAAGATTAGTTTTCGTGTTATTTGCGTTGCGATATATTGCCTTAAATAATTTATATAAAATACAACCTATTAAAATTACTAACAAAATTGGAATACCAAACAATACTGCCATTGTGTCTACACTATTCCTTTGCAGGAAGTTCAAATGACGCGCTGCCACACGCAGTTGTGGTGCACCTTTATGTCTCAGCACATACTCCGTCCAATAGATCGCTGCATCGAGCGGTTTCATTGGTCGATCGTGAAAGCGTGCTGAGATCTCTCGTGCACTTTCGGCATACTTCGGATTGTTTAACACTTCTAAAATGGCATCCCGCAATTCTCCACTCGTAAAATTTTTAAAATTCACTGCCACACCGAAACCTTTTTTAAGAATGTGCTGTATATTCAAATGCTGATCGTAGAAGACGGGCATACCCACAATCGGTTTGCCATGATGCACAACCTCTATGGTACTATGCATGCCACCATGTGTGATGAACAATTTCACTTTGGGATGTGCAAGTATGTCCTGCTGAGGAAACCATTTATTGATAAAGACATTTTTAGGTTTACCCGGCAGATCGGTCTTTTCGAACTTCCACAACACGTTTACCGGTAACGAAGCGAAGGCATCCATAATAGCCTTTATTTTCTCTTTTGGCAAATATGCACTCTTTACGTTCGAACCGAGTGAGAAATAGATAGCACCTTTTGGCGAGGCATTGATGAAAGCCTCCATATCGGCTGGTAGTTTCTTTGGAATGTGTTCAACATGCATGCCGGCGATTTCAATTGCGTTCGGTACCAACGGTCGAGGCCAACTGTATGAGTAATGCTGATTGAGCAGCAGGAGAGAGAAATCTCTACGCACCTCACTTAAATCTAATGTGACATTTGGAAAATACGTTTCGTACAAACGCTGTTGAGCAGGCAATATAACAAATAAATCGTAGAGCCATTCAACGGTGTTGATATATAAATTATCTAATCGCTGCCAGAAATCCACACAATCCAAATATTGGCCACTTGGGGCTGAGACATATGACACCGGCGAAACATTGTCCACCAGTTGATCGTTAACCACATCAGCACCAAATGTGGAGATACCAATCATGGGCGCTTTAAAATGTGAACCCAGTGCGTAAAGTGCTTCTTGGCAGAATACTTCTACAATGATGAGATCGAAGTGCTCATTGCCTCGTAGTAATTGCTGAAATTCTTCATTAGTCAGCACTGACAATGTAGCGGGCAATACATATTCCTTTACCAAATTTAACTGTTGCATTTTGCCGCGAGACATTTCCTCGATAGCAGCGATTACTATTTCTAAAACCAAATGGTAAAAAATATGCACGTCAAAATATGTATAGGAGTTGGATAAACAAAAGTCATACTAACCATCATGATCGGCTTCTTCGATTTTTAATGTTATATCACGAAAATTTTTTATTGGTGTTTTTTGTGGGAAAACCGAAACGGAAGTGATTTCATGGCCGCGCGCCGCCAATGTCTTCAAATACGGTTGAACGAGCAAGTACTGCGAAGGACCCGTGAAAGGAAATACCACGAGTATTTTCGCAGCTTGTACACGACTGGGCACGAAAGCAAAACACACCAGTGCCAGTATTACAAGTGAAACGCGCGCCATTCTAATAACTAACAACTTGATCGGCAACAAAGAATCAACTGAAATGATGTGTGTACGAAAACTTTCATTTATGTGTAATTGAAAAGCATAGTGCATCGTTAGATGTATTGTAGTGAGTATGCATTAACCCTTGCACTACTTACTTTTGGAAATGACTATGTTGAAATAAACTTTCACAAGAAACTCTATGGGAAGGTAGAAATGTTTGAACAGCTGATGGTTATGATATACAATATAAATATTTTATTTTTTACATTTAACAGTTTTCATGCTTTTTGAAAATTACTTATTATTTATTTAATAATTTTCATCAAACATTTGTTATTGGAATTATGTAGCGGCTCTGAAAGGGTTAAATTAATTAAGAGTCTCTTAACTACTAACTTTGAATACACATACATACATGCACACATAAATATAATATAATAGTGCTTAATGCACTTCTATATTTATTTATAAATATTTTCAGAGATTAGATTCCACCTCAACGTTCGTGCGCAGCATTATAAAACTAACATTTCTAAATTTTTATTACATCAGTTTATCGCTAATTTTTTAGTGCTACCATATGTTTATATAAAGATTACTTGAAAATACATAAAATAATTTAGATGTACATATGTATACGAGAACCCACAATATTATATTTAAACTTTACGAGTGAAAAATTTTCTTTAATTACTCTAAGATAAACTGCGATTCGGTAATTTCGCATTTGATACATTTATTATTTGCAAAAAAAAAAACAAGCATTGTTTTGCTCATGTTAATAATGAATGGTTTTTACATGGATTTAAATCAAAGAGTTAAAAAAAAACGGAAACCAATTTCCTAATTAATTTTCGTTAAACGATCAGTTCAATTAATTTAGAGATTTAGTTAATTAATTAGGCTTAGCTGATCTAATTTGTTTAGCGCCAATAAAGTTAATTTTTTCCACTTTTTCCCCAAGGTTTCGCTAAATATATTTTAGCATCTTCAGGGGCTCAAATATCAAAAAGCTGAAAATTATTTTAAATGTCAAAAAAACTATTTACAAAAAACGTTTATATATACTTGCATGTATAGATCAATTTTTTGGCAAAACATCAAGACGCAAAACCAAATTGGAGAAGGAGCTCGGCTAAAAATCTCCTCAGGCTACATCGTAACGATAAATTTCACGTTAATAAAGTAACTAATTCGATAAGGTTGAAAATTTTAGTTATCGTTAAAGCAGTTATCAAAATAGATTTTATTTCGTTTTTGTCCCGAAAAGAAATGCTGTAGTTGATGTTAAATCGTTGACAGACAAGGTTAAAACGTTAACAGATAATGTTAAATCGTTAACAGATACTGTTGAACGTTAAAAGACATGTGTGCTGTTAATATCATAGCCCGCAGATATTTTAAAGTTAACGTTAATGCTGAGTTTTGTTTCATTTCGATTACTTGGCATCGAAACAAACTTAAATCATTTCGTTAAATTTAATTTCATATTAATAAAACGAAATGGCATTTTGCTTATCTGAGCATCTCGTTAACGAACTAAAATCTGTAAAAACAAAATTTGTTTTGGTGAATTTTAGTCAAAATTTATTAATGTTAAGAATCAGTTCAAAAATGACTGATATTTGTTAAATTTTAATTTTTTTTATTTCACAAATAATAAAAAAATATTTCAAATATAAATAATATATAAATAAAGGGTAATTTTTTAGCTATTTATTTTTTGGCGATACTGCTGCCGCACGTTTCGTGCTTTGTATCATTGTCAAACATCTTCAGTTCGGTCTATAATTTAACCACGAATCGTCTTACCAACGAACAACGCTTGCAAATTATCGAATTTTATTATCAAAATGCGTGCTCTATTAAGAAGGTTCATTGCGCGCTTCGTAGCTCGATTTTGGAGTGAAGATCAGCCATAAGCATTGCAAGAGCTACTAATGCATCCAGAAGAAGACAGTTTGGTGCGGTTTATGGGCTGGTGGCATCATTGCACCGTACTTCTTCAAAGATAATGCGAATCGTAACGTAACTGTGAATGGTGAGCGCTACCGTGAGATGATATCAAATTTTTTTGCCCAAAATGCAAGAGCTTGGCTTGCATGATATGTGGTTTTAACAAGACGGTGCCACATGCCACACAACACGCATAACAACAGTCTTATTGAGAGGCGAGTTCGATGAATATTTTATCGGTCAGTTGGCCGCCTAGATCGTGCAATTTAACGCCTTTAGGCTATACTTGACGCGTTGGAGGACAACATCGAAGCATTTATGCAAAAATTGGACTAAGCGGATAGACCATTTGAGACGCATTCACAGTCAACAGTTGCTTAAAATAATAATCAAATATTAAATTATATGGACCGTACCATCGATTCAAATAGAGATTTCATGAATTATTCTGAATTTCATGTGTTTTTTCTTCGAAAAACTTTCTCAAAGCTCTCAAAAAATCACCCTTTATATACAATTACATATATTTTGGTTTTCTTTAACATTTCTTAAACCATTGCTAACCACTGGGCTATGGTGAAAATGAATAAATTCGACTACCAGCTGCTGCTCATCCATAATATTTATCCTCTAAATCTAGTCACAGCAACTATTTCCCGTCAACAAACCCAAGAAGTTTCTGGTCAATTGAAGTTGTTGTCACCAAATCAAACGCCTATTTTGAGGGCCCTAGAATAATCTCAAATAAGAAGGAATAACAAAATTAGAAAAATGCTTGGCTAAAATTAAATTCTGTCGTTTGGATGTATAAAAAAAATACATACGTTCATATGTACTCGTATGTATATAAATACATATGTTTGTATCTTATATTTCCCAAGTTGTTGTCTTATCAAACTAACCTTGTACTATAAATTTTCAAGGTGTATTAGACCTTGATATAAGTGACTGCTCTTTAGCGCACATTTATCTACTGTTGATACATTTGGTTCAACAATTTATTTAAAAAATGAAGAGTAGTTATTTTATTTTCTCTTATCTTACGGGTTGATTAGACTTAATTTATTTTATTTAAAGGAATAACATATTTACTGTTTAGACAGTAATAAAATATAATTTCAAATATACATACATACACATACACACATGCAGATTTGAAGTTCAAGCACGTCTCATATGCATACGTGTATGTATGAGTGTGTGTCATGAATATTTATAATAATCATGTTCGGTGACCTAATGAACAATAACAATTGTTATCCAATTTTACAGAGGTGCGTTCGATGCGGCAAAAAACCAATACGTGACAGAGAGAGCACAATTTTGATGTTTAGTAGAGAGAGAAAGACGCTTGCCGATGCCGTTATTATCGTGTTTCCCGTAGAAACCAGCGGTCATTTGCATTTTTTTTTTACATAAAATAGACTTAACCGATTTGCGATCCATGTGTAAGGTTGCCAGTGGAGACTTTTGTAAATAACTTTGAAATTCGCTATGAAAATGCAACATTTCTGTCATAATCAATGTATGCTGAACACAAAAATTAATTAATTGTTACGCATATTTAATTGTCGTTTATATTCGTACATATAGATTAGATTATGAGATTCGTCGACGAAAATTATAAATTTGCTTAAAAATGCGCAAGCAGTGACGGCCACAACTTAGGCCTATTTATGACTCTTCCAGTCGACTGGTACGATTGGAGAGTATGTATATAAACTAATTTTGCTTTGCTTTAAATTACTAGAAAGCAGTGTAAACCAAATGATTTAAATTCAATTAAATTGTCGCATTTTTCGCGTCGAGTATACTCAAATAATGGCTAAAAATGTATATATAAAAAGACTTATTGCCATTCCGAAGAGTTATGGTCGTACGGTGACCGTCTTTTTCGGCCTGCACTTGAAGAACACCGCTTGATGGTTTGAACATGCTACACAACACGAATAAATATGGTTTTATTTCGAAAGCAATTACGCGGTTGCATACTCTTTCGCCTTGATAATGTCAATTGGCACTCGAGATCGTGCGATTTGACTCCATTGAACATCTTTTTTTGGTGTTACTGGCGATAGTGCGTTAAATTTTAAGCACTTGAAAACCAACATTTGTCGATTTATGGCTGAAATACCACCCAATATGTTCCAAAATTTCCTCAAAGTTTTTAACAAAAAAATAATTACAGAAAAAAATTACTATAATTGCATTTGATTTACGTTTGTTTCCGAAATCGCAAAATAGACAACCCTGTACAATTTGCTGCCTAATTTTCATTGAGATCTGCGTGATGAAAACTCAGTAAATTTCACTCTTTGAGAGAGTAAAACTTCTTACTAGCTCATTTTCATTGCTAACTAATTCTTACTAACCTTTCTCACCGAACAGAGCTAATACTTCCATTAAAAGCAATGCTCGCCTATTTTAAACCACACCCATTTATACACATATCTCTTTACTTAGCTCAGCAGCAAACTGGTTATCAAAGCATCTAGTAATTTCAATTATTGAAACGAAATTGTTGTGCTTGAAAATACTCGATTTGTTATCAACACTCAACTTGTCAGCAATTTACATACATACGAGTACATTGTATTATTTGTATGTGTGTAGGCATTCAAAATTGATAATAAATGTGCTTATATCATAAATAGTTATAATATAATATATATTTATATTTGATTAATAACAATTAAATTGTTTACAGCATCTGGTATTTACTTTACAAACAATGACTTTTCATTTATCACTTTTCGAATGTGAAAAGCAATTATCATATAAAAGTGATCTGGGTTGATGAAATCTGACATGAATTCACTTTGGTATTCACTTTCACATACGAACTGGGGCTACTTAAAGAATCTGTGTACAATCGACAAAGAGATGTTCTGTATGACCCTATGACACAACCCTTTTTGACGCTCTACAGCTTACTCGCGCTTCGACTTTCTAGCGTTAAACTTAGCACCATGTTTTTTGCCAAATAATGCTCTGAGTGTTTTATAAAAATACCTAATTACAAAAATCCCCAACAATAATGGCACACCAAACAATACTGCCATTGTGTCTATACTAAGCCTTTGCAGGATGTTCAAATGTCGCGCTGCCACACGCATTTGCGGCGCACCTTTGTGTCTCAGCACATACTCCGTCCAATAGATCGCTGCATCGAGCGGTTTCATTGGTCGATCATGAAAGTTTGCACAAGCCGCTCGGGCGTTCTCAGCATACTTCGGCTGATTCAAAACTTCTAAAATGGCGTCACGCAAATCTGCGCTGGAAAAATTGCGAAAATTTACAACCACACCAAAACCTTTAGCTAACGCCAGCTCAACATTCAAATGCTGATCGTAGAATATCGGCATACCAACAATTGGCTTGCCGTGATGCACCACTTCTATCAAACTATGCATGCCACCATGAGTGATGAAGAGTTTCACATTGGAGTGTGCCAAAATTTCTGATTGTGGAAACCATTTATTGATGAAGACATTTTTTGGTTTACCCGGCAGATCGGTCTTTTCGAATTTCCACAACACGTTTACCGGCAACGAGGCGAAGGCATCCATAATGGCGCTCAATTTTTCTTTGGGCAAGTATGCACTCTTTATATTCGAGCCGAGTGAGAAATAGATAGCACCTTTGGGTGAGGCATTGATGAAAGCTTCCATATCAGCTGGTAATTCTTGCAATGTGTCGTTAATATGCATGCCAGCGACTTCGATCGCGTTCGGCACTAACGGTCGAGGCCAACTGTATGAGTAGTGTTGATTGAGCAGCAGGAGAGAGAAATCTCTACGCACCTCACTTAAATCTAGTGTGGCATTTGGAAAATATCTTTCATATATCCGCTGTTGTGACGGTAGCATAACTAAATGTGCATGTAGCAATTCCATTGTATAAACATATAAATTATCCAGGCGTTGCCAAAAATTCATACGATCCAAGTGCGCACCGCTTGGTGCTGGTACATAGGCCACCGGTGAAATATTGTCCACCAACTGATCGATAACCACATCTGTGCCGAACGTCGAGACGCCAATCAAGGGCGCATTAAAATGTGGACCCAGTGCGTAAAGTGAATCCGCCAAGAGTACTTCGATAATGATGAGGTCGAAATGCTCTTTAGAGTGCAGTAATCTCTGAAAGTCTTCACTTTGAAAAGTCGACAAGATGCTCATCTCCACGTAATCCTGCACACCGCGTAATTGATCTAGTTTACTTCGAACCATTTCTTCGATCGCAATGTTAACGAATGCTAAATAAGAAAATTATATGTATTGTATTTTTTTAAGACAAAAATTACTACAAATGCAGAAACTAACTGTCATGCTCCGCCTGCTCAATTGGTATGGTTATATCACGAAAATTTTTGATTGCTGACTTTTGGGGGAAAGCCGATACGGAAGTTACCTCGTGACCGCGCGCCGCCAATGTTTTCAGATACAACTGCACACATATATACTGCGAAGGACCCGTAAAAGGAAAGACTGCGAGAATTTTCGCCGATTCAGTAGAGCTTAGTGTGGAAACAAAGATCAGAAGTGCGAATGTCACAAATGTAATAGTTCCCATTTTCATATCCAACGGTTTGTATGCCTGCAACGCTGATTTATAGTTGACTAAAACTAAATTCTCAGCGTAACTCGTCTTTTATGTAGCCTTTGAGGAGAATAAATAGTTTGCATTAAGTACTCAGTATTCAACTATTGTTGATTGTTGTTGATAATTTCATATGTTAGTGCATTATATACATAGATATGTGGTTCACAAGCAATTGACAAGCAGCATGTAGTGAAAAACGGAACTAGTATGTTAAAATTCTAGTTCGACACTGGTAGTTTAAAGTTGAAATCAAAATAGTACACCAGTAACGGGAATCTATATATATATTTATAAATCTATAAATAAATAGACATGAAAGTTGGTTTGCACACTTTTTTGCATGTGTCAATGTGTGTTTCATGATATCATATGAAAGGTTAAAGGACAAAGTAATGTGCAGTATAAGTATCGATCTTATTTCAAGTAAGGTCTAATTTTTTCCACATCTGAGATATAAAAATCTTTTTTTCTTCATCTTTCTTCCAAAAGATCTCCGAATTTAATCGTCACTTTATATGTATTGAAAATTTTTCAATTTGTTCCCTGGAAACCCAGGAGGGTTTCTTAATAAAAATGATTTCGGAAATGGACCAGTGACCGAACTAACCGAAAAATCGTATTTAAGTTCCGATTTGATTTAAATTTTATACAAAAGCAGCTTTTCATTTAGATTGAAAAGATCTCTTTTAAAAATTATGAATAATTTCTAGAAATTGGTATCTAGGCGGGTAATGGTGGATCCAATATGGCGGTATAAAACTTGGTATCCAGGAGTTTTTGGGGGCGATGATTATGAATTGGTATTTTTTTTTTACTTACTTTCCGAAAATATTTGATTTTTTCATGGGTCAAAAATCGTATCGAACCATGTTATATTTACAATCCAATGAAAAATTGAAAAAAAATTTCAAACATAGTCAAAGTGACTATGGAACGTTTGCTCGTAATAGTTTTTAGTGCAAAAATGCAACTAGTAGAAATCTGGTTTACAACTAGTATATTTCCCTGAGGGGTAATTTGATTAATTAGAGTGCATAATCTGTTATGTAGAAAATAAACAATTTAAAAAAAGATTGTTTTACGAGATGTGCTCAAAATATAACGGTAATTTTTATATTTCGCGGGCTGAGAGATAGTCAAACATCTTTCTTTATCTACATCTGTGGCAGCCTCTAAGGTAAGACATGTTATTACGAGACTGGCGATTTTCGTTCGTTGAGTTTGTATCTTTGCATAACAAGTGAAATGAAGTGTAAAAAAGTGTATGAAATATTAACAAAAGTCTTGCGGTGCATCTGCTGAAAGTACAACTAGTATATATAAGTGGTTTCAGCGTTATCAAGAAGTTCTTTCATGGCGATGCAGGTTTCGAAACATTTCATAACCAATGATCAACCACGGGCTTATGGATATGGCATCGAAGACACACTATCTCCCAGTGCCGAAAGAGGCTCGAGAGGGAACTTCTTATGCTCATTGTGCTCTTCGATTTCAATAACATACTACAGCGCAGAGCTCCCGTCATAAGGTCGAACTGTCGAAAAGGAGTAATACCTACAAGTTCAACGCTCACATGCAATTGCTTTTTCCTATTTCGAAAACAAAGGACTCTAAAAGCCATTGTCTCACAACCGTAGATGGCATGAATTGCGCTCCGCTGAAGGAACTAAGTGCTATTTCAAGGATCGAGTTTGAGAAATGTGGGGCTGGAAAGAAACTTGATTCAAATGCATAATCTCTAATGGCGTTTATTTTGAAATCGGAAGAAAAAAAAAAATACATGTTATTTTTCGAACAAACCTCGTGCATACGAGATAAGCAAATCTAGCATATCTAATCGAATTCCATTAAAACAAAGCCAAATAGTTACAGGCTACCTGGGAGTTCTTTACATGCAGAGAACTAGGTTTTATTTATTTATTGGCCGACATCCCACTGTTCCGAAAAAAAAATAAAATCAGTTTTCTATAATTTTGGAATGGTGGTCGGATCAGGACTCGTACCCTGGGCATCCGAATAGTAGTACGCAGGTCAGACGAAATTCCACCACTAGCACGAACCGAAGTTTGCATGTGATTCTATTCAATGGGTACCACGAAGTTTAAATGAATCAATTTTTCCTAAGCGAATTCAAAAATGGTCAGCTTAGCAACTTTAGTAAAGTCGTTACTGGTGACGAATCTTGGCTCTCAAAGTATGATCCAGAAACCAAACAACAGTCTATGGTATGGAGCCCAACATGAGCAAACCCACCCGTAAAATCTAAGCAACAGAAATCAGCAGAAAAAGCAATGATGTCTTTTTACTTCATCCGATCTAAAATCGATAGATTACCGGCCCAAACTTGGGAAAGACCAGTGGAAAGAGAATTGACACACACCACATCTTCGTCGATTTTAAAGCAGTATTCGACAGCACGAGAAGGAGGTGCCTTTGTGTCGCTAAATCTGTATTAAGTAACCCTGCAAAACTTATACGGCTGTGTAAACTGACCTTAAACAACATTAAAGGCTCCGTCATAATCGGGAAGGACCTCTCCGAGCCGTTCGATACCAAACGAGGTTTCAGACAAGGTGACTCCTTGGCGTGCGACTTTTTCAATTTGATGCTGAAGAAAATACTCGTAATAGGCGTACGGCGATGATATTGGCTTTTTCAGCCTCAACAACCGCACCCTTAGTTCTGCTTTCTCCATAATCGATAAAGAAGCGAGGCAAATGGGTCTGGTAGTGAATGAGGTCAAAAAGAAATATCTCCTGTCATCAATCATCAAACAAACAGTCATGGCTTTCGGGAATTGACTTCCACGTCACTGTTGACATTCATAACTTTTAAGTCGTAGATAATTTCGTATATTTAGAAACCAGTATTAACACCAATAACAATGTCAGCCAGGAGATCCAACCCAGAATCACTCTTGCCAACAGCTGCTACTTTCGACTGAGCAGGCAATTTATAAGTAAAGTCCTTTCTCGGCGAACGAAAACCAAACTCTACAAGTCCAGAACCGTGGACGATATCATTATCTGATGAATCGGCTCTAGGAGTCTTCGAGAAAAAAGTTTTGCGAACAATTTATGGTCTTTTGCGCATTGGCAACTGCAGACGATGGAGCAATGAACTGTACGAGCTATATGATAATATTAACATAGTTCAGCGAATGAATAGACAGCGGCTACGCTAGTAAGATCACGTCGTGCGAATGGATGAAATCACTCCAGCTTTGAAAGTACACGATGCAGTACCCACCGGTGGGAGCAGAGAAAGAGAAATGCCTCCACTCCGTTGGAAGGATCAGGTGGAGAGTGCCCTGGCTTCACTTGATATTTTCAACTGGCGCCAGACAGCGAAAAGAAGAGATGATAAGCGCGCTATAATTGAGTCGGCTATAATCGCGTAAGCGGTTTCAACGCCAATAAAGAGGAAGAATAAGATCTAAGATCAAGATTTATTATTGAAAAGCCTCGCCAGCCTCAACGTATAACTGTTTAGTGCAGAGTCATTCGATCTTACTTTTTTCAAAAAATAAATAGATTGCGCTGTCGGGAGATGATTAATGATTTCTTATGGTTGGAATTGGATGGTATTTATCTGTGAAACGTCTACTTTCAGCAAGACAGCGCTACGTGGCACACAAGCAACGAGGCCATCCAACTTTTAAGGGAAACGTTTTTTTTTTTTTTGTATGTCAAAATAACTCCTGTTATTGGATAATCCTTATTAAATAATGGTGGTTTTCTTGCCGAAAATTCGTTTTTAATGAATTCGCTTGTCAACCGTGTCGCACGAAAACTTTCCAATGAAAATTGAACGATTCACCATAACAATTTTCTTGGCTTTCGCAACTTTTACGCAGAACACTCTCATCCATAATTCTGCGCCCGAAGAACTATTCATTTACCCTTTTGCGCAAAGAAACCTAGTAATATTACGTATAATATAAAAAATTCATATTGTTAATTAATTAAATTCCACGGAGGCTGGCAAGTGTAAGAAATTTGATTAAACCTACGCTTGTAATGAAATTTCGAAAGCTTTTTTGGGTATTGTCCATTGCATTTTTTCTCTATCTTAATTTTCTTACGCTTTATTAGTTTTTATTTTACGACTTTGTTGTAACCAATTGTGACCGCAACTGGGCAGTTAGGCCCATTTGAGTTCTACTCTCTCTCTCTCTCTCTCTCTCTCTCTGTCTCTAATTTCAGCTTTCTTGCCAAATCCACTTATGTAGATAAATTCCCAAAAGCGACCAACTAATTTACAACCTAAATTTGGCTTTTACTTTCAATATTGTGTTGCGTAAAATTTCAAGCGTGATTAATTTCCGTCCCCCTTTCGGGAAGCCAAATGGGCCGAGTGATTTGGGAATTTTTGGCAAACTTTTGCGGGCACATATGAGATTTTGTTTGCTTTTATTGTTTACTCTCGTACAGAAGCCCGTCTGCCTAGCGGTTTGGGGAATAAAATAGCAAAGTTTCGTTAAGCTTTTAATTAGTTGATCCCGCAGAACACGTGGTGTGTATGTGAGAGTTTTATATTGCCGCCGGCAGGTTATTTAACGATCCAAACGCTTTATTTGCACACATGAGGCAGAAACAAAAAAAAAAAAAAAACATATATATATGTATATATGTGTGTGTATATAAGAATCATTAAAATGAACGCTTAGCAAAATGCCTATGTTGCGAAAGGCCAGCGCCGATTAGGCAATATAAATACATGTTTAGGCAGCTCCAAAGCGACCGTTGCGTGCGTCAATGAATCTGTGTATATCCTCATTTTCATGCTCATCAAAGGAGATTTTATTCTTGCGTGGCCAGCATATTTGGTCAGTTCTGGAATTTTGATATTTAGGGATCGTAAAACAGACAACTGTTTGCTTTCAATTAATTCTCTTTTATGGTCTGAGCAAGATTGTGAAATGCGAAGAATTCAGAGAGGGTTGGCTAACAAATAATAGCAGAATGTCAAGATTTTTCTTTGAGGAACTTTTACGGCAATTACTTAAGTGTTTCAAGTTAAGCAATAATCCTCATTTAA